AATGACTTACAATCTGCCTTGCACGCAGCCAACTTGGCCGACCCGAGTTCGATTCCTCCGCCCCTCTCTGAGAGCCCGGCAAGCTACCTAGAGTATCTCGCCCGCACGGCAGAGCCTGGCAAACTCCCCGTGACGTATTCGATATGCCAGACACAGTAACAACAAAGTCTCCAATGGAGACGTTACTGGGCCCGCTCAAGCAAATCAATGATCAACGGGAGGGCCTTTGAATTTAAGATAAAGAGAATTATTTTTTTTTTTCAGCACTCCCACTCCTATATCCCAAGCTCAAACAACCGGTTTGTAGAAAGTTCTCCATTGGTCTTGATGGATCACTGTTTTGTTGTATAGACCTTTGGTATAATTTAGTTTGTAACTTTGAAACAAGCACTCAACAATTTACCTGTTGTCTTCTTTAAAAAGAACATTTTGGAAATCTTCCTTACTGAACAAAATTTTTCATCTTAGAAACTTATGATTTGGCTCATGTAAATTTACCTTAAAACATCTGGAAAATAATTTCCAGGCATATTATTTAACGTATGACAAGATTCAATATCCATAGTCCATCTGTTCTGTATAAGCAGTGAGTGTCTGCATGCTTATGTGCTAAGTGTTGATAACTATGTCTCCTGCTAATTATCACTCAGCCATGAAGAAAAAAGTGATGACTGTTTTAAACTTGAAGACATAGGTCCTATCAATCAATGTTAATCTGATTATTTAATTTACACTTTCTCATCAAGTAAGTATTTAGAATTAAAAGCTAGAAATATGTAATTAATTCCATTTTTACATCCTCATACACATATGAAGCAATATTCATCATATAGCATTCTTCGCACACACAACAACACAAGATGAAGAGGGTTTTATTTTAATGATAAAGATTATATATGAACCCTCTCCCTTAACGGAAGAAAGAAGGAACTCATTTTTATGCAGGCGACGTGCCTAAGATCATTGAGCTAATGTCAATCAGTACTGGAGAAGGGACTCAAATTTTAACATTTGTTCAGTCTTTCTGCTAACATGATTTTTCTCAGGTTTTGTACAAAATAAAGGAAATACATTAACTTTGGTAAATTGGAATCACCTTACCCCACCAAAAGAGGATTTATTATACCATTTTGAGAACATATTTTCTCCTTCCACCCAAATTGGGATAAACATGTTTAATATATAAACTTAGAAAAATTCATAAGGACCATATCATTATTAAAGCTCTAAATAGTAGGCCATTAGATTATTCAGACATTTCCATAGGCTGAAGTTTCTGGAAAGGAATGTTAATATGTTTCTATTTTTGACTACATGTTATTTACAGATGTGGCAAAGCTGGAATTGAATAAATCACACAAACTTTGAAGAAAGCACTGACACTTAATTTTGTGGCTCAGAATATAAAACTTTTAGCGTATTACTCATCTAAAACATTACATTTTGAAGTAAATTAACCTCATGTGTATACGTGAAGTCAGATAAGTTAAATTTTAAAATAGACACATAAAAAAAGTGTAAAAATTTTATCAGAACAGTTGATAGGAAAAATGGAAAGATATGTATTTAAGACTATCAGAGTACTCAAATGTCATACACAGCACTTGGTTTTCCTGGTACATCAAGTGCTACTCATGAAGAAAAATAGAAATCAAACTGGTGAATGTCACATTATTATTTTTAAATCCTTTTTATTAGCATATTACATATGGTTGACCCACTATTAATAATACGAAAACCATTTCAGATTATAATTTTTTCCATGGAATATCAAGTCACTAAACTGTTGCTTTTTAAATTTGTTGAATAAATTTTAAAATGTATGTAACAGAATAAAAGACTAATTATTTCACTCTTCTGACTACAAACCATCTGACATATTTTAAAATTATTTTTAATTGCGATTCTGTGGCTTAACGATATTGTTAATGGTATCTAATGCACAAAATTTCAACACCACACTATCTGAAATATTAATTGTTCTACCACATTGTTTACGTTGAAGTAAAGTTTTGTCCTTTTTTTCACTGAATTTTTATATTTTGGGGGCACTACTCTGACAGCACCTTGGGAACCAGAGTGATGCTGGGGATTGAAGCAGGGTTGTTCAAGTGTAGGGTAACTGCCTTCATCCTTGTACTATTCCTCTTGCATCTCCATTTTATTCAAAAATTGCTTAGCCACAATTGGCATTACTTTCAAAAATTAGTTTGACTGGAAAAATGTTATTAAGTGTAAAGAAGTAATCTGAGCAAACATGGTATCAATAACTAGTAAAAAGTTAAACCAACAAGCTCAGAAGGGACTAGGGAAAAGGCATTACAAATTCTTGAGCAAATGTTTATAAATGATATGTTCATGTTACTCTAATGAGCATGGAGTATTTTGTAAGAAGAGTCACTGGCATCAGTGAGGAAAGCAACGGTCTTTGCATCATCTTAGGAACAAAACACTCCTAATATGTAGGGTAATAAAATAAAAATTGGACCTCTATGCTTGGAAAACTATATTTATTCTATAAACCAGAGAGCCATCAATACTACAGACATAGGACCCAAACCACAATAGTTAAAACTGAAAAATGTGTCTTTTAGGGAGGCAAGCTTGGGGATGGGCAGAAAACTAGGGAACAAAGTTGACTCTGGTGGCAGAATTGGTATTGGAATATTGTATGCCTGATACTTTATTTGCTCGAGCGGGCCCAGTAACGTCTCCATTGGAGACTTTGTTGTTACTGTGTCTGGCATATCGAATACTCTCGGTAGCTTGCCGGGCTCTCCGAGAGGGGCGGAGGAATCGAACTCGGGTCGGCCATGTTGGCCGCTTGTAAGGCAAACGCCCTACCCGCCGATACTTTATTATGGGCATATTTATAAATCATGCTGCCTAAATAACCGAGTTTACGGAGCACACGTTTCCAAAAAAGAAAACTAAATGTGAAGTACAGTTGGTTATAAAAAATTTTACCTTAGGTGACCACGTGCCCCAATATCAAAGATGCATCATTTTGTTTGTTTTCCTAGCCCATATGTTCCTTTCTGCAATATCCTCCTCCTTTAGCTCCACTTTCATGCTGAAGTAAACAGGATTAACTCTGTCCATTCTGGCCTGATTAGGAATCTTCTTGTTCTCTGACCATCTTAGCAGTAGATGTCAGCTGCTCTGTGCATATTTTGTGTAATATTAAATGAAAAATATCACTCGGGGGGGAAACAGCTTTGTGCAAAATTTTCATGAGAAATAGTTTCTCTTCAATGAATATAAATTTTGTGTCAGCAATGACTTGTTCCTTCTTTCTTTCATGCTTAATATTTCCCTAGAGTAGTTAATCCAGTAATGAGCACATGGGAACAGTTAAGCAAAAAAATGAAAACAAGTTTTTTTTTTGGGGGGGTGGCATATTGTATGGTGCTCAGGGGCTACTCCTGGCAGGCTGTTGTGGTATTATTCCTGACAGCACTTGGGGGACCATTTGGTGCTGGAGATTAAACCGGAGCCTATTGCATGCAAAATTTACACTTCAGCCCTTTGAGCTATCACCCCAGTCCAAAAGAAGCAAATATTTTTGGTTAAAATGATAGGCTATATTTTGGGATAACATGTGATATAAACTTCAAAAAGATGTTACTAAACAAGAAAATTATTAGCTATAGATCTTATAAAGAATTTTCATCTTTAAAATAAATATATTAGGCTTCATCCTGTTTCAATGTACTCAATGATGTAGGACCCACAACTCAATTTAGTTGTCATACATCATATAGTCCCTAATTTCTAACAGACACTATCCTAATAGCTACACAGGCTTATATTTTGTTCCTAGATACCTTATCTGTTGTTGTCTGTTCTACTGCTATGGAATGAACGACTTTTATGTAGGGTGGTGCAATTTTCTATGTTCTTTAAAAGTTTTAGGAGCTCACTGATGAAACTGAAAGTGTATTTTATCCTCAATTGACACAATTATGAACTTTTAAGTACCGTACACTTTAATACAACTTCATACTATTTAATAAAACCTCATTATTAATAACTTCATTAATAAAATTATATTCATATTAATTGCCTGATTTAATTTTTATGTGCGGGTTGTCTTTTTATCATTATTATTATTATTAGCGGTAGCACAGTGGGTAGGATGTTTGCCTTGCATGCAGCCGATCTGAGTTTGATTCCTCCACCCCTCTCGGAGAGTGGAGAGATCGGGAAGCTACTGAGAGTATCTAGCCCACCCGGCAAAGCCTGGGCAAGCTACTCGATATGCCAAAAACAGTAACAAGAAGTCTCACAATTTGTTGAGAGATGTTACTGGTGCCCGCTCGAACAAATTGATGAACAATGGGAGAACAATGCTACAGTGCTACATTATTATTTATTTATTTTTTGTTTTTTGGGTCACACCCGGCGGTGCACAGGAGTTACTCCTGGCTCTTCACTCAGGAATCACTCCTGGCGATCCTTGGGGGACCATATGGGATGCTGGGAATCGAACCTGGGTTCACCGCCTGCAAGTCAAACGCCCGACCCACTGTGCTACTGCTCCAATTCCATGTGGGTTATCTTTTTAAATTTTTTAATACACAATTGATGTGCATCTTGTAGAAAATTCTGTTAAACTATTAAAATCATTTTCTTACTATATTAAAACATAGAAGGAAAACTTGAAATTACAAGGGCTGTAGTATTTAAGCTGAGTTTAGATTTTTGTTAAATTCATGATATTTGAATATTAATTAAATTAATATGACAGTAAAAACCTGTCAAACTGTATAAAATATTAGTCCAAGCCAAAAACTCTTTTATTTTCCATCTTGTTGAACTGAAAAGAATAATAAAATACTTTATTGGTTTATTTTGTATTCAGCAGTTCACTTCATAGTCAACTGTATCACTTAATGGTAGAAGTAAAATGAATTTTAAAGATGCATTAAAGACCCTTCAATTAGAGACAAAAATCTGAGCTTTATGAATTACATTTTTGAAACAAACACTAAACTTACCTCCAGTAGATGAGAATACCCACAAGAACCACTAGACAGATAAAAGTCAGGGCTGACACGATCACAAGAGGTATAACTGCCTTCTTCTCGGATTCCAAGCCCTCAGCTAGACCAATACGAGACTCATGGCTACTATTACTGGCCTCTGTAGTTGGAGAAAATTGAGAGAGTTAATATTTAAAGCTTAAGAACAAGTTAATATCTTTCAACTAATTTCAACTTTTGTTATTGCTGCTTACCTTTAAGCTTTTGACTCTGTGATGAAAAGAATGCCTATAATTATAAGGCAATTTAAGTAAAAACAGTTTAGCATGTATGACAATCAATAGGAACTGAGGAACTAGAATATCCCAACAGACACTGGTATGTAAATTAGGCATCCATAAAAAAGAAGTGAATAGAGGGCCAGGGAGATAGTTTAAGCTACAGAAAACATTCCTAGCATGAGAAAGGCCCTGGGTTGGACCCAAGGTATATTATCACACCCTTCTCTCTTACACAACTTTCCCCCATCTTCCCAGTTCACCCCCTACCTAGTACTTCCAAGTACAGCACCACCAGCTCAAACATGTATAGCTATGTGAGCTGAGCACTGGTGATGTGAGCCCTACGAATAAATTAGGATAGAATTTTAAAAGGGCAATGAAAAAAATTAAAACCCAGTTTTTAAAAATAAGGTAATCAGGGAATTAAAGTTAAGACCAAATTTTAAAAAATAAGATATCCAGGGAAAACCATGCTACTTATTACATTACTTATTACATCACTTGTAGTTTAGGTTTTCCATAATTCATTAAAAACTTTCAAAAACCCTGCAAATGGGTAAATTAGTAAGAGTCATTAATAATTTCATGAAGAGACAACCTAAGGATAGCTCTTTGTATTAGAGCTTTAATCCAGCAAGCTACTTAAAATTGAAATATAGTTTGTTTTTGCAATGTTATCTGTTCTTGTATTAATTTTTAAAGTCCAATGAACTATTCTGGTGACTGACTGTGTATAGTATTGCTCTAGCACTTGCAAAATCCTTGCAACTGGAGCTCTTCTTCCAAATTAGAGATTTCAGAACTGCGTGGCATCTGTCAGTAGCTGTTCACAGCCCTCTTCTTGGAGGTGTGTGTGGGCAGCGGAAAACCAAGGCAATTAACCACTGAAACTGTTCTGTGCAATATGCTGACTCTGCTGCAGAGTAAGTGCCCTTACCTACCTCCCTGCAGAAGTCTTGCAAGAAGTAAATTTTGGTTCCCCATCAGAATATACTTTTCTTTCTACACAATGGCACCTTCACTGATTTTATACTACAGGCAACATAAGGCAAAGGAAATATATTTAGTTATAAATACTTAAGAGTAATAAATTTCAGAGTAACACACATTGGTAAATATCTCAATAAATATACTTAGCTGCAGAAAAGTAAATACTAAAAAGAGCAGTTTTCTTCTGTAATGAGAAATAGTGCAGAAAGTACTTAGACAAAAATTCAAGGCTATTGTGATGGCTCAAAGGGCTTGAGTGCATGGCCAGCAAGCAGGGGTCTCAAGTTCTATTCCCAGCTTCACATGTCATCTGAGACCACCAAAGTAGGTGGATCTGACGGTCTCCTGTATTACCTTGGCTGAGCTGTACTGGACCAAGAATCACTGGGAGTGACCCAAAGACCCCTGAATATTACTTGGGACACAACCCTCTCCCACCCCACCTGCCCCCACAAAAAACAAACAAACAAAAAAACCCACCTAAGTAAACTTCTCCAGATTTTAATCTGGTCACACAAAATTTTGTGTGATATAAAAGAGAAATACATATCGCCCAATTTTCCTGATGATCTTCCTTATAATTTTGAATGCCCTTGCTATAGAAAAGTAAAATTTAAAGGTATGACTGAGTATAATAAAACTGTCACAAAATGAATGGGTACTTGGTCGCTGTATAATTGAAACCCAAGCACAAAACTTTGTAAGTCTACAACTGTACCTCATGGTGTTTCACTAATAAAAATAAAAAAAACTGTCACAAAAGTGGAAATATTATAAATCAACTGATCCCTGAGGGGCAGTTACAATTCTTGTGAGAAAAGCCCAAGCTTCATATTCATTATGCTAATCATATGCTCTGCTCTGCTCTCTCTCTCTCTCTCTCTCTCTCACTCTATCTCTCTCTCATTCATCTAGAAGCCAAATTATCTGATGGTGCTTACACTGAAAATGTCTTTATGAAATTTTGAAGTATCTTTTTTTAAATCTATGCCTCTTTTTCTTTTTTAAATTGTACTCTTGGTACCTAGTGGAGAGCTTGCGGGTAACAAAAGAAATAATTCACTTTAAAAATTCCTATTAGCCAGAAGTTACAGAAGGTAGTTATTATTATTAATATTATTATTATTATTATCTGAATCAGTTATTCTTCCAGTGTGGTATCTAGAATAGTGACTTCAGCCTCACCTGGAACTCATCAAACAAGTTTTAGGGTCACAGTCAAATCAGTCTTAAACTACTTAGAATATCTGTAAGGTCCAGTACTCTGTTTTAAAAGGGGTAGCAGAATTCTACAGGCTATTCTGAGGCACATTCAATCTTGAAGCCAATGATGCATATCAATGTGTAAACAAAATGAGCTCAACTAAGTTTACAGGTCTTCAGAGATGACAGATACTCATGGCAATATATATAGGTGTATATGAAGATACACATATGCTTCACTTGTATAGATATGTATGTATACATATGAAATGTCTGATCATACATGTGATGTATCTGTAAAAATATACACATAAAATATCTAAAAATGATCATATTAGTAACACTATATTCATATTTTACACACATATGTGCATATAAGAGACTTTCCTCACAAATTCTTTGGGAGGTCTGTATTTAAAATAAACATTCATTCAATAGTTAAGGGAAAAATCAATGGCAATTATATTATATAAAATCTATGTATTTTATATGAGGCAGTATATCACATGAAAGTATAGAAAATATAATTGCTACACATACTATAAGAGACAACTACTTGCATTGATTTTCATATTTATTCACTGTCACCGTCACTGTCCTCCCATTGTTCATCGATTTGCTCGAGCGGGCCCAGTAACGTGTACATTGCGACAACTGTTACTGTGTTTGGCATACTGAATACCTCACGGGTAGCTTGCCAGGCTTTGCAGTGAGTGCGAGATACTCTTGGTAGCTTGCAGGGCTCCCCGAGAGGGGTGGAGGAATCGAACTTGAGTCGGCCATGTTGGCTGCTTGCAAGGCAAACGCCCTACCCGCTGTGTTATCACTCCATATCTATTTTTATATAAGCTCAACTCTGTTAGGAAATGATATAGCAAGTCAACTCTGTTATGAAATGATAAAACAAGTATCTACTAATAGGCAATTAGAAACTAAGCAACCTTAAGCAACTAAAAGGTTAATATTTAAGAATATATTTTGATATCAAGTATATTTAATTTAATTAAGTATAATTTTGGAAATATTTTAATATTATGGATTTCTTTTTTCTAAAATTTTCTAAATCGTCATAATTGATATTTGCATTGTCTACATTATATTTTAAATGTCATGTAATTTCTATATTCTAGAAGTACATAACTTTTTTTTCTTTTTTGGTCACACCTGGCGATGCACAGGGGTTACTCCTAGCTCTGCACTCAGGAATCATCCCTGGCGGTGCTCGGGGGACCATATGGAATGCTGGGAATCGAACCCGCTGTGCTATTGCTCCAGCTCGAAGTACATACTTTTTAAGCTTCAAAGTTAGTCTACATTCACTTGGTAAGGAACCTTATTAACTATTGAATAAAACAGAATACATACATAGTTTTACTGGCACTTTAAAAAAAGAAACAAGATTCCCCCTTCATCTTGTTTGATTTTATTTACTTCATGAATTATATTACTACTTTATGGTACTAAATTTTATATTCATATTTCTTTCTTTTTATCAGTGGTAGAACATATTAAATAAACAAATCTAATTAATGATTTGAAAAGAAATTGCTGAGCTTTATCTAACAATTCTGGCTTTGGCTTTTTGTAGTATATAACTTTCCGTAATAGCATAATTTAGCAATGGCATATTAAATATGTTACTACCTAGTAAGGTAGAAAAAGGGATGATTCCTGATATTTTCCATGAATTGAATAAAATTTAAAATAGTAAAATTGAAGTCATTAACAATTCATATATGCAGAATAACAATACTAATGGATAAAGAGACATATGGATTCATTCATTCATTCATTCATTCTCACATATCAGAATTTGAGTGTTTAAAATGTAATGCTAAATAGGTTTAAAGTCAGAATAAAAGAAAAATTCTATCTAAATGTAAAATTTCCAACATTCCTGTAATTAAGTAAAAATTTGTAAATCTACAACTGTACTTCATGGTGTTTCACTAATAAAAATCTAAATAAAAAAATTATGGCTAATTTAAAGGACAGAACCACAAAGAATAAAAAGCATCCTAATGAGATGTGTGTCTGTGTTATGAATTATGAACATTCACTTTTATACAGTAGTAATATATGATGTACAGTAACCTGTCTTGTGATTTACTGCTAAAATTTAAACATTTTTATTGTTAATCTTAAAAATGCCTAACATGTAATAAAAGCAAATTATACAACTTACAACTAATTCAATAAAATTAGGAAATTAGGTAGTATTTCATGGTCTTAATGGTATTGAATTTCCATTTTCTTCCTGTTGGCATTTAAAGCAAACATTTGTATTTTATCCACCGTAAGTAACCTGCTCTAAGAAACATCTGTCCATTAAACAAATTTGCATAAAATCCATGAACAAATAAAATGCATTTCTATAGAAATGTTCTAATGTTTACATATTACTATACAGTATCTATACATACTATGCATACTAATACCCATTATTTAACTTCTTAGAAATGGAGTATTACAGTAAGCACAAAGTCAATGTATTTTGTTAGTTCACACTGCCCTCTTTAGGCAACATTAAGGTATGTTTAGGCAACAGTAAGGTAATCAAAGATTGTTCTTAAAATTTAAAACCTTAAAAATTATCCTTAAATTTCAAAATATAACAATAGAACTTAAAACTATCTCCCAAAATTATGTGATTTAGCAAATTTTCTGATTCCTTTTTCAAAGAGAGGTGTTTAGTTATATTACTGCCAAAGTATCATTCATTTATAATTCGATAGAATTAGTTTTAAAACTGATTTTAGAACACAAAATAATATGAAAATTCTTTAAAATATCACTCTCTATTAACCACTTAAAAAGACACATATGAGAATGCATTATGCCAATTATTCCCTTATGTAACTAAGTAAGAATATGAAAAATGACAATAAAATGGACCATTTTGTTGAGAATTAATTAAGCCAGGGACTGAAACATACTGAGCATTCCTTTAGAATAATGGATCAAATCATACTTTAAAATCTATAAGCTGATTTGTTGAATGTTTTGATAAAAACAAAGTGTTCCATTATTTCAAGTTTCTCTCCATGATTTTTTTTTTGTTGTTGAAGAAAACCACCACACTTCAACCTATCCCATTGATCCATAACTAACCTGCTTCTGAAATGTTGAACACTTCTGAGTGCCTACTAGTAATAGTTGATGTCGAGGACTCTGAGGACCCCGGGATTAATTCTGAGTCCCCTGGTTCCAGGACCCCATTGGCATCTCTTTCATTAACTTCTGGAAAACTGAAATCTGTGGAAGTCTCCTTATCATTAAGGCTACCTGAGGTAGTTTGCCCTGATCCACTTTCTTCATCGCTTGTAAGAATTTTCCCCCAGGCTTTAGATTGTGGGGTGAAAGGAAGAAGGCCAAGCCCAGTTTGGATATCATTTTCGTCTTTCTCAACATTGTGGTACTGGTGTAGCGTATCTGTTGGTGATTTATCAGAACTGACCATATCAGTCTGACTGTCTGAGGTGGTACCTGTTACTGTACTTTCTTCTTCAGCATTCTTAGAATATATAGATAAGACTGGGTTATTTTGATCCACAAGACTGTTTTCCTGGGTCTCTGAGTCATTCATGACCTTTTCCTGTGGTTCTCTATAGGGGAGGCATGACATACATTTATTTACGGGTAAGCCATTGCCATCTCTGTCATTATCCCCATCATCACCATAATCATCATCACTATTGTCACCACCACCCCCTTCAGTGTCAGATCTGACTCCATGCATCGGCTCAGCTGTTTTAGAAGGAAACTGCCACTTGGTTGTGCTCACGGAACCATCACTGTTGGGAGAAACAGCAGACATGGAAACATACACATTTCCTACAGGAACAGAATGATCAGCAGTTACAAGTGTTTCAGAAACAACTGTTGGGGTACCAGCAAACACCTCATTGGGAATAGAACCTTGGGTGGAGGTGAAAAGTTCATCAGGATATAAACGCTTATCAATATGCGTATTTGGTGGTACACTGATGGATAAAATGGGAGTGGCCAATCCATGCCTTCCTTTGGTTGGAAAAGCATGGTTAGTCTCCAAATTGGTGGACTGGAACAATTCATTATGACTGTACAATGAAGGTACCACTTGCTGGGAATTTTTGCTTTTAAACAACACGGGTTCAAAATATTTCTCACTCGTGTAAGGAATGGTTACACTTTGATGCGAGGCAGCGAGCGTAACAGAAGTAGGCGATACGACAAACACCGGTACAGACGCAGAGCTCAGCATGTTTTCATTTGAAGCAGAATTTGATGCCATGAGATGCAATATCGGAGAACTAATTTGATCAACCTCGGAGGTTTCAACCAATGTTAGATCACTAGGCACAGTTGGAAGAGCAGTTTTAAGCAAGGTGTAAACACCAGAGGCCTGCAAGGAAGGTTGCAGCAAGACTTCAGTATTAAAAGAAGCTGAGGCCTCATAAAATAAAAGCTGAGTTGAAGGAGATAACATTTCACTAGAAGCAGGGCCAGAGGAATTTGATTCTGAGCTTGTGCTAAGCGCAGGCTTAAATGGCGTGTCACCAGATGTTTGCGAGACAGCCTGCGTATGCTGAATAGAAAAGAATATTTCTGGAACTTGACTAATTTCATGATCAAAAACCTTAGTGGCAGTATAAGGAAGAGTGCCGGGAGTTTTACCCCTTGTACTAGCAATGGAAACAGGGGATTCTTGTACAGATGCCTTCAGCTTACTGACATGCTCATATAGGTCAGGCACAGCTGTGCTTTCAGAGTGGTAAATCATCTCACTGAAAGAAGACATTTTCAGTTCAGTCTCACTTCCATAGATTATGTCACTTTTAGAAAGCGGCTTAATTTCATCACCAAATACAGAGGCTGTAAATTCAGTTACAGACAGGGGTGAAGAAATATTAACTGCTGTCATACCATCTGTGTTAGGCAAAAGAAATTCACTGTCAGAGGAACCTCCGGACCACTCCCCATCACCGGAGAGGCCAGGAGTCGGCTGCAGCAGTGAAGCAGAAGGGGTAATGAATGAAGCCTTGGGCACTGGCATGTGGCTAAGGCTGCTAAACACGGCACCCTGATGAGTTACATCTACAGGATCACGCACAGGTATCCCAGAACTGTAAGGAACACTGCCGAGAGGGTGGGAGCCCTCATCCTGAGATAAGACATAAGAGGGTTTGGGCCCTGAAGATCGGGTTTGCATCATGACATCACTGCTGGATGCTTCAACTTGAGAAAACATTAGCGTTTGATAGAGGCTATGAGATTCACTACCACCAAACTCCAATGTCTCTGGAGCTGCACGCACAGTGGTCTGATGAGACACCACATCAGAATATTGAGCAAGGCTGGGCTCTAAGAGCGCATCACCCCCAGCCACTGGCAGAGACGCATGCAAGGACACCTTATCACTCTCAATAGCTGCAGTGGCTTGCGGAAGGATTTGAGAAGCTGTATACAGATGGTGAAACAAGTCACTACCGAAGGAAGCAGAGGAAAATGGAAGCAGAGGTGCACCCTCAGAGGAAGACAGGATGGATTCAAATGACATATCAACACTGGGGGATACAGGCGCAGCATGCAAGGCCGAATCACTACTCGAAGCAGCAGGGGTAGTGTTGAGGATCTGATTGTCAAGCAACAGGGGGGTGACTAGAGGAAAGACTTCACTACTGTAGGAAGGTTGAAGAGGTGGCTCACCATTGTAGACTGGTTGAGTGGTCTGCGAATGTACCATGTTGACCGTGGGAGCCAAATCATGCTGTCCAGAGGACGGAGTGAAAGCATGAGGGGTGACCTCTGTGGGGAAGTAGGTAAAAGTTGAAAAAGGTGGCATTTCCAGATCTGTGTCTGACGGAACCTGCGATACCAGTGGACCTGGGGAGGAGGATTCAGTGGTTTTCTCAGCTTCATCGATATATTTCTCAGTGTAATTAGTCTGGTGAAATCTCTCTCTCCCCGACCCAACTTCGGGCTGTGTGGTCCCATCGATACTGCTGGGAAACCACACATTTCCATCACTGGAAGGATCCTTTAGAGAGTCTTCTGAACCTGAAGAGGCCGAACCTTCTGAAGCATTTCTGGAAGATTCTGGTAAAAGGACATCATAGGTGATTGACTCTGGGTTTTCTGAGGAAAAAGCATACCCTTGGGATATAGTTTCAGAGCTGAAGGGGAGAGGAGAAGTTACAGGACTTGAGCCAGAGGAATCCTCAGGTCCTGTATCCTGCTTGAAACTGGTCAATAAATTATCTTCCCCACTGATATCAGTAGACACTTCCTGGGAGTCTGTTATAGAAACTGTATCGAAAGACTCCACAGTCCCAGACAAATTCACCTGTGGGAACCTGACGACAGTTTTTGAGTTGTCATTTAAAGAGTCAGAAGTGCCCTCCAGCGTGGAAGGTAGTGGTTTTGTCACTATCTGGAAAGTGGGGGAAACCTCTTTTTCTGGGGCAGATTCAGTGACAGGGGGAGAAGTGGAATATAAAGGTGCATTGGGAACATCTGCTTTTGCAGAGGAGTCACTTCCTCTCGTCGGAGATCGGTTTGTCTTGGCCTCATTGGACTGAGTGCCTACACGGTTGGAGTTTGTTGTGGCAGGAAACTGGGGTTCCTTTCTCCTTATCTGGTTGGTGGTAGCATCTCCGCCAGGGTTCACATCAGCGTCTTCTTCCATGTCTTGCCCCTCTTCTTCCTCCTTTGAAGAGCAAATAAGATTTAATGAGACATATAGACAGAAGAAAATGTTAGTTAATTTCGAAGGTTTGGGGGCCACACCTGACGGTGTTAAGAGCATACTCCTGGCTCTATGTTCAGTCATTCCTGGAGTTGCTCAAGAGAATTATGTGGTGTTAGTGATCAAACTGGGGTTGACTGTGTGAAAGACATGTATCTCACTGTAGACTAAATCTCTCTCTTTAAGCAAACATTTTAAAGACAACCTTTAACATATGTGCCAGGTACTAGTTACTTAATATGATGTTCCCCTTAGAGATACAGTCTTTCATGGGTACTTCATCACTAAGATGGTTATGAGACATCTGACTATACGTCACCAAAGATACATGGCTTCTGTTTACTGTTTTGTTTTACAACATGAACACATTATAACATGCCAGATCAAATTTTAGAAAACCAAATGGCCAGAAGCATCAAGATAGGACAATTTTCTTCCATGTGGGGACCTGATTTTGTCAGTTTGTCAGTCGTGTTGTAAGATCATTTGTCAGCCCCTTTAAGCTGATGTTCCCAAAAGAAGAAATATGTGACCAAAGTATAAACTGTTACAGTGGAAACTGGACTGGTATCAGTAGAACTGAGTGTTGAAAGTAGGTAAAGGGATATACATGGCAAGCTTTCAGCATCTGATTGAGAGAGACAGAGAGGAGAAAGAGAGAGAAAGAGAGAGACTGAGAGACAGAGAGAGGGAGGGAGGCAAATGTACACTGGTGAAGGGACAGGTGTTGGAACATCATATTACTGAAACCCAATCATGAACAACTTTGTAACTGTGTATTTCATCATGATTCAATTAAAATTTTTTAAAAAATAAAATTTAAGATTCTAACTGAAAAAAGGAAAAGAACCTTAAACCACCTGTATTCATGGTCCCTCATCTCATAAACATGGAACGTTACATTCTGTGTAAAAAAAAAAAAACAAACTTTGAAAACTTACTGACTGTATCCTTATCTAGAGTTCAACTGGTGGGTTGAAATTATTTTTCTAGGCATATGTAACAATATTCAGAATGCTTTAATGATCTCAACTGTCTTGATACTGAAGATGATGATCCTTTAGATTATGTAGAAAAACTTATTCACTTGTAGCCAGTGCTTTTTTAAAATTTTTATTAGTGAAAGTCTGGCAAACTCCCCGTGGCGTACCCAATATGCCAAACACCAGTAACAATGATGGGTCACATTCTCCTATAGAGTCTCGAATATAATCTCAGGGCTAGGATGAAGGAGACGTTACTGGGGCCTGCTCGAGGCAATCGATGAACAACAGGATGATTTGTGATTGATTGATTGTGATTAGTGAAACACCATGAGGAACAGTTGTAAACTTACAAATTTTTGCGTGTGGGTTTCAGTTATACAATCGAGTACCTATCCCTCCTCCAGTGCTCATTCTTCACCACCAATGATCCCAGTATCCCTACCAATGCTAATAAAATTTATATTTTGATTCAAATGTATGTTGTCTTTCAGTAACAGTTAAGAATGTTATAAAGAGATAATAGAAATATTAAGACATTATTAGGTAGTAATAAAATCTAAAAGGTAGTAGGAAAATCTAAAAGCTGAAAATTTCAAATTATTGCAATAGACCATATCCTTATCTTTTTTATTTCTGTTTTCTTTGTTGGGAAATGGGTACACCTGGCTGTGCTTAGACCTTACTCCTTACTCCTAGTTTTGTGCTCAAGGATCACTTCTGACTTGGGGCATATTTTGGGATGCCAGGGACTGAACTTGAGTCAGCTGTGTGAAAAGCAAGTTCCCTATACAATGTACAATCTTTATTTTTATATTTTAAGTTCATTGTCTTTTATTATTACCAAACTTTTTCTGTTATTATCTAGTCAAACTGTCTTTCAACTTCATAAAGGAATCATGGCTATGCATGAGAGAACCGCCAATCAATCCCAGGAACTAATCCCACAATAAATAATACAGGAACTTTTACCAATGCATCTTATCCCTAATCAGCAATTCTAAATAGACTTTTAAATTTTAAAACATTGGAATCTTGGGGCCAGAGCAAAATTACAGTGGGTAGAATGCTTGCCTTGCACATGGCCGACCCAGGTTTGATCCCTGGCATCCCACATGGTTTCCCAAGCACTTCAGGATTAATTCCTGAGTGCAGAGTCGGGAGTAACCCCAGAGCATCACCAGTTGTCACCCCAGAACAACAACAACAATAAAACTTACCCCCCAAAACAAACAACCACCAAAAAATTGGAATCTAAATAGAGGTATGATACCTTGAAAATTTCTTCAGTCCCAATTAATTCAGGAAAGAGGTCAAGTTCTACAAAATTAAAGACAATATTATTAAAAAGTTTGTCCTACAATTTCAGTCCTGTAGGTTGACTTTTGGGTTAAAAAAAGAGGAAACATAACAAAAAGGCTATTAGCAATGAAAATATAAAATTTACATAAAAATTTTAGTTTAAGTTTTTAACACAACAGAAACACAACAAAACACCACACTCTGTAACACACTATATGAGACTACATTAAAAAATTCATTTTTATTCTGCATTCCAAATCTCTTCCCTATCTCCACATCAAAGAGACTGAAGCTAAGAAAGAAGGGGACAATGAGGCTGATATGAGAACAAAAAAGCCAAATACATCTTTTTCTAATCAGTGCAGACTTACCTGCATCCTTATTAAGATTTGACAAAAGCAAGTTAAGAAGATGCAGTGATTCTTTTGAGATTCACAGGGTCTATTTTCTTAATCGACTACTTCTTGCTTAAGTTCTGCTTTTCAATGAGCATCAAATAATTCTTTTTTGCCCTTACTATTTGGGTCTGTGTCTATTTGTTCAAAGGATGTTGTACCAGGTGAAATAGTGTTTTTCCATCAGGCCCTGCCTGGCTTGGCAGCTAGTAGGACTGAAGAGAAAGAATTTCCTGCCTTCTCCCAAGAAATTCAGCAAATAGTCTATGCAATGAAGACAAAGTCAAGTTCGTATGTCTTGTTTTTTCCAACTTACCAGAATCAACATATTTATAATTCTTGTTAGTCCCAATCCTAAAACAAGATCTGTCAGGGAATGCTAGAAAAAAACTAAGATCTCAGTCACCTTCTCAACAAGGAATCTAATGATGCAGCAAATTACAAAGAAGTCAAAAGAACATTTTCTTACATTTCAAGTGCGGCCTAATATTAGAAAGACAGTGGCAGGATAACTGGAAGAGATCGAGTATTGGTATAATAATGCTTCTCTTCTTTCAAATGATTTTATTTATTTATTTATTTTTTGATGTTAAAGATTGAACGCTTGGTCTCACACATGCAAAGACTGTGCTCTACAACCAAGACACATCTTTTGCTCTTTTGATTATTTTATAGATTCTCACTCAAGCATCTAGGGAGATAGTACAGGGTTAAGGTTCATGCCTTGAACATTGCCAAGCCTTGTTTTATCCCTGGCACTAAGTGGGCCACCTGAGTATCACTGGAGGTCCATGAGCACCACCAGGTAGCCCACACTGAATAGCCAGCTAAGCTGGCTTCTACAACTTAAGAGCTTCCTGGAGCCCCAAAAGATTCTCATTTCATCTCCAAAATTTATGTTCTTTAATATCACATTGATACCTCTGTTCTATTTTATGCCTCTATGTATCTTATAAGGAAAGGTTATTATTTAATTGAAATCTCTAAAGCATAATTAGCTACCACCAAATTCCTCTCAACCTAGGCCTGTTTTAAAATAGATTTTCTTGAATTCATATTTTTCAGAAAATTTCTAGGTATAATGAAACACACAAATATGAATAATATGGTTGTGGGCATGAATTTTATGCAGAATGTAAAACATAACATTTGTAAATGAGTTCAAATCCCAAAACAATTTGGATTAAGCTAATTATGTTGACTTTCTCAAAGTTATTTACAGTTTTATATCGATTATTTGTGCTATAAAAATTAAAATAATAGAAAAAATCAAAGTATTATTTTTCACTTTGAGTTATTTTGTTTTCCTCTTAAATTCAATCATGAAGGGGATTGGAAACTTTAATGTAGAACATTAGTATTCTTCATTTTTACTTCTTGTCTTTATGAAGCTCTTTGCCCACCCTCTTTTTAAATTTTTTTGTATTCTTTATCTTTCACATTAAAGCGATTTCAATTGCCTAAAACAATAATGTCTCTATAGTTGTTTAAAAAACTGTAGCATTGTAGCAATGTCATCCCGTTGTTCAGCGATTTGCTTGAGCGGGCACCAGTAACGTCTCCATTGTGAGACTTGTTACTGTTTTGGCATATTGAACACACCACAGGGAACTGGCCAGGCTCTGCTGTGTGGGCAGGATACTCTCAGTAGCTTGATGGGCTCTCTGAGAGGGATGGAGGAATCGAACCCGGGTCAGCAGCACGCAAGGCAAACACCATACCTGCCGTGCTATTGCTCCAGCCTGGTTAAAAAACAAACTTTTAAAACTTTGAAAATAGAATGCAAATAAACAGTTATAAATAAGTACACTATAATATTCTAAAACTATAACTATAAAAGCCCATATACATAAAAATCTTCAAATTCAATATGATCAACAATCCTTGATTTTATTGGAAATGTTTCTAAATGAACTACTTCCTTTTTGTGTCCTTTAAAATTCTTTTTGATGAATAAGAAAAAATCAGAATCAACTACTTGTTAGTAATACATAAACTATATTGTTGTTTTTTCTCTAATAAGAGACTATGGAAAACATGATAAGTCATATTTTTTGCTATGTTATAAGTTTTAAAACAACTGCAATGACAACATAGTCTTACTTTACCAAACTTCTTACTTCTAATAGACAAAGGTCATTTATTTTGGTTAGAATTGGGGTGGGTGACATATAATTATCAAATTGAAGACTGATTTTCTTTTCTTTCAGGGGTTACTGTTATTTCTCTTTTGCATTTGGTTTCTTTTACCCAAGTATAAACGAACTATGTTTCTTTATATATTAAAAGACATGATTATTGATAGCATTATTGGCTTTTGGGCCACACTCTAGTGGTGCTCAGGGCTTATTCTTGGCTCTGGATCAAGAAATCACTTCTGATAGGGCTTGGGGAACCATATGTGGTGCCAGGGATTCAACTGGTTGAATTAACTGGATTAATATCCAATATTATTCTTTAGGAGAGCCTTGATCTCAGTTACAAAGGAAAGCCCCAGAACTGCCTGAGAATGAGGAGAAGAAAATATGAGAGCAAAGCCAAGTTGAGAATCTACACAAGCTCCTGAAAGAAATGTGGGATAAGAAGGTTAAGAAGCTGACAATACCCACAGGCTGAGGTCTTCAACATGCATCTTGCAGCTAGCATCTATGACTGAACAGATGACATGAAGTGGGTCATGAAAACCCAGGCCCTTTAGGATAACTCTTATAGTGAACTACATTACCAAGAGAACCTGGAGGGCTGGTGCAGTAGGCAGAGTACTTTTCTTGAATGTGACTGATACACTTTCCATCCCTGACTTCCTATGTGGTCCCTGAGTACCACCAGGAGCAATTCCTGAGTGCAGAGCCAGGAGTAACCCCTGAGCATTGCTTGGTGTGGTGCCAAAACCAAACCCAAACCAAGCAAACAAAAAAACACCTGGAAATCAAACCCTGATCACCCTGTTTGCAGTGGCACTGTAACAGAAGGCAGAGGCATATAGAGATGACAAGGATGTCAAGGACCTATGGGCCCTTTATGAGATTGCATTGCCTCGGGCTTCTCAAGTGAGGATCTGCTCTAATAGCATCTTCTGTATGATCAAGCAGCCCGGGCACTTGAGAGGATGTGCACTCAGGCTACCTTTCCTGGGATGTTTTCCCCTTTGATGGTGATGAGGATGCATTGCACATGGAAGAAGCAAAAAGAACTTTCAACCTGTGGATATATACCTCATGGTTCTGTCTCCTGGCTGTCTCTGCTATGGAGTGGGTTATCTTTGATTTCTTTCCCCAACCTTGTCTTTCCTATGGCGGGAGAAGGGATCTCAAGCCTTGTCTGCTCCCACATTTGGAAACAAGCCGGAATGTCCTGCATTGGTTTTTGCTTATTTTGCTTATTTTGTTTGAAATTAAAGTTTATAAAATAAAGGAAGCAGTTTTATATTAAAAAAACTTAAAAAGAGTATCAGGGAGTGTCACTATTGGTTTGCTGATTGCCAAATGTACGGGCCTAATGTCCTGTGTATTATGGTACTCTCATGGTGAGTGGGGGGGAGTACCCCAAGTGTGGCATCTTCATAATGGTAAATATAAACCCAATCTGAAAGATATTCATTCTAACTTCCTATTAGATCATTTGAATAGGTTGAAATTAAGGGATTACCCAGGAATTCTTTAACCCCTCTTCCCACCACCATATAACCCAGTAGTCTTTAGCTACTAAGAATTACTAAATTCTTCAGAGTTTAAAAAATGACATAACTAAATATTAAAAAATAGTTTTGGATCCCAGTATGTTTCTCCCATCCTGGGAGGATTCTCCCAACACCCTTTATTTGGTACTCCCTTCTCTATCTGAGCTGCCTTTTCCCCTAGCATGTGTGGCTGGCCTCCAAGCCATGGAGCAAAATTCCTGGTACTAATCTTGGCCATTCTTCGGTGTTAGTCTCCTATTTTGTTACTTTATGTTCCCCAGATAGTGGGAAATGGGCACTGGTGGAGGGATGGGTATTTGATCATTGTATAATTGGAACTCAAGCACAAAATTTGTAAGTCTACAACTGTACCTCATGGCGTCTCACTAATAAAAATTAAAAAAATATAGTTTTGGAAAGGTAAAGGTAAAGGCCCTCCCGTTGATCATCGATTTGCTCGAGCGGGCCCAGTAACGTCTCCATTGGAGACTTTGTTGTTACTGTGTCTGGCATATCGAATACTCTCGGTAGCTTGCCGGGCTCTCTGAGAGGGGCAGAGGAATCGAACTCGGGTCGACCATGTTGGCCGCTTGTAAGGCGAACGCCCTACCCGCTGTGCTATCGCTCCAGTCTATCTTCATGGAGATTCCAAGCCATACTTGCAGAGCATTCAAAAACATGGCATTTGAAAGTGTTGCTGCAATGATAGGCACAATATCATATACTAAACGCCATTTGATCTGATTTTTCCTCACTGGTGTTTTAGTAGTCACTGGTCTGACTTGGACATTACTTATATAATAAACAATTCAGAAGTTATACTGGTTTACAGAATATTCTCACTTAATCAAAATAAATTTCACAAAGGCTACCATAAAGTCTCATAGTGAAGATTGTCAAGGTTCTTTATTCTTTTTGTCAACACTTAGATTTCAAATTAGTGTGACAGCTGGACAAAAACTATTAGCTGATTCTGGTTTTGCTTTAGGAACACACATGTAATGTTATATATTTTTAAAAGAACATGTCAGAACACGTTAATATTCCATAACACAAAAAAGCAACACTGATATATGTTGGCATGCAAGGCATATTTAATTGCTTGAAAGTAAACCAAGTTTCACAGTGCAAAAAGGAAAAACAATGTAGACTTCAATTTTCTCAAGCTGTGATTTTAAGTATCATTATAAAGTAACAATGATAGCATAGGATGGTACAGGCAAAGTAAGGACAGGTGTATAGTGACTTAAGGAAGACAACTGTTATACAACTGAAAAACACACAGTAACAGGCAAATGCATTGATTTAATTCATCATGCATTTAAATGTGTAACATGTATAATTATCAGGGTTCTAAAACCTTTAGTTATATAATAGTAGTATAGCTTTTTAACTGTTAGCTCAACATTGTAAAACAAATAAAATTATTTTAGTTATGCCAAAATGTTTATGACTTATTCCTTCATAAATATAATTTTCTATGAAATACTTGAAAATGATAGATTTTTATTCTTAATCTTAAAATGCTTTCCTTAAAACCTTTAGTTTTGGCTGTGAATTTATGCATTTATTTAGAAACAAATTTAAATAATATCTAATGGACAATAATTTATTATAATGTTGTACACAACAACAAATATAATTAAAAAATAAATTAATAAAATTAGCCAAAGTTCAATGTACATTTAGAATAATAAGTTTTATTTGACAATTATCAGAATATTTGAAATTTGTAATTGCAAGAAAGAGGGCAATTATGAACTTTTTTATTCTCATTTAACAAACAAAATACAATACTTAGAAAAAAACATACAAAATAACAATGAAATACTTCCACAGGATATATTATAACATTACTAAGTGATGGAATGATGATTAACAAGATGAAATGATGCTAACAAAAGGAAAGCAGCAAACTCAAGAGACAATTATATCTATATTAGTTACTTGAATCATAACATTTCCAAATTTCATAAGTACTCTGACGTTAAATCACCAGAAAATACTAATGTCAGGACTTCTACTATAATATATTTACCATAGAACAATATTTCAGATAATGCAAGCACAACAATTAATTGCAAACATATGGATTAAAATGCCATGCAGCAGTTAATGACAGAAAGGATGAATTCTAAGAAAACTAATAGTTTTTAGTTAAAATGAAAAAACTCCAAATAGGGTAAGTTATACTTTGTTGAAAGAAATTTTGATAGGAATAACTAAGAATAATTTATGCAAATTTTTAACCCTTGACTTTTCAGGGTATATTATAACAACACATCAAATCAAACCAAACACTATTACTAAAACATCATTTTGTAAAAAATTCTTTATGGGACTAAGACATCCAGGAGAATTAGAATCTGTGTTACAAACTAGCATCTCATCATCATAATATTCAGTAGCATCCTCCTCTTTGGATGAACAAAATTTAGTGTATGATATTTATAATCTGTACCAATATGAATGTGCTACTTATGATACACGAGTATTGAATTCTGCGCAAATATAAAAGGATTATATAGAAATCACTTTGATAGAAAATATGATCTTTTCTTTCATATGCAATAAATTTCTCAAAAAATATTCAGACAACTAAGAAAATACATAACTATAAAACGTAAAAGTAATTTTTTTGAGTAAAATGTCAAGCACAGGTATTAAGCTAATATAACTAAATCAAGATATTAATATTACATACTATTAAGAAAAATATGCTAAATATAATTTAGATCTTCAAATACCCATTAGGAGTAAAGATTTTTAAAGACCATTATTTCACTGATTCACATCTGCCACTGCCACCATGGTCAGTGCTGTACTGTTAAAATGTCACTGCTAAAATGTACCGGGCCAGAGCGATAGTACATAAAGTAGGGTGCTTGCCTTGTATGCTGCCTACCTGGGTTCAATCCCTGCCATCCCATGTGATCCCCCAGCTCCCCAGGAGTGATTCCTCAGTGCAGAGACTGAAGTAATCACTGAGCAAAGCCAGGTGTGGCCCAAAACACAAAACAAAAATATTAATAATAATTAAAAAATTTAAAAAGTCATATAGTGATGGATCAATATGAGTAACATTAGGAAGGTCTAATAGTCAATGGAGGAACATAACAGAACATTGTTGAAACCACAGACATTTAAGGTGATACTCATTTTTTTTGTTTGTTTATTTTTTGGGCCACATCTGGCAATGCTCAGGGCTTACTCCTGGCTCTGCACTCTCAGAAATCACTTCTGGTGGGCTTGGGGGACCATGTGGAATGTTTGGGATCAAAATTGGGTCAGCTTTGTGCAAGGGAAATGCTCTACCTGCTGTAGTATGCTTCGGCCCTGATGATGCTCATTTTTAAATAAGACTTAGAGTTCACATACTAGTTAAAAATAATCTAATTTTGAAAAATAATCCTCTAAACAAGAAACAACAGGAAATATTATTATGCCCAGCCACTAATGGAGGTCATATAAAATCCAATAATCATATTTCTATCATAATACTAGCACTATTCAGTAGCCACTGCTATTTTAATTTGGAGAATATTTTGGAAAGTTTATAGCCTATACTTTTGAGGGATACATCTTCTAACACTTACTGCTCTGACATATATTGCCTAATATAAAATATCAACCAGTCAGAAAATTCCTCAGCAAAAACAAGCTCATATAGAATTAAAGTCCTTGTAATGCCTTATAGACTGAAAAAAAATTATGACATTAATTTTTCTTTATATATAAAGCTAGAATGTGCTTAAATAAATGTAATTTATAACTAATAATTTCCAGTAAAAATGGGAAAATTTTTAGTAGTTTATCTTATGATGGGGATGATAGAAGACTATATTTATATATGTATATTTGAATATACAGACATAATTATTCATGTATATGCATCAAAATACATATATATGTGATTCTACTGTTATTTAAAGCTACTTCTACCAACAAAAGGATAACTTTAATTAAATTTGCATACTGTCAAACTGTGTTGGTCAACACATCACTCAATTATTGCATATGCATTCAGATCAAAAGATTTCTCCAAAATATCAAGATGCATGCAAACAAAATATAATTTAATGAAACTTTTTGTTTTTAATGAAACAATACTCAAAAATCACATAAGAGGAAAGCACTCATCTACAACTACTAAACTAAGAAAAAAAAGGTAAAAATATTAAAGATAAATTCTTGAGATGCTTTGTATAAATATTTCAAAGTAACTCACTTGGTCCTAGGAACACCCATATACTTACTACATAATACTTTGGGGGCTGAAAGGGAAATAAACACAAATTAAACCAACTCTGAATTATGCCAAGCATTTCTTAATGTGAAGACAGCAATTTTCACTTTGTGCTATGCTAGATATCGCTCTATGTCTATTATTATTCTGCAAATGGAGACTTGAGTATTAAAAATTAGTTTATTTATTGTCTTGCCCTGGAGTTCCTAAAAGAGAAGCGGGTTCCGTGCTTCACAAATTACCTGATGATTCAGATTGAAAAAAAGACGATTTTGTTTCTTGGTCAAAATAATGTAGAGTTGAAAGAAAAGCACAAAAAAAGAAAGAAAGAAAGAAGGAAAAAAGGAAGAAAAGCACCAAAAGCACCCAGCAGTTAAACTCAGCGTCATTTATTTATTTAGTAGCACAGAGATGGATCTAGGGAACACTTACCAGGGTCATTGGAAGGCATGTCCACAATTAGCTGATCACTGTATTTTCCATATAAGCCATTTGTGCATATAGCTACTATTTGAAGAACATAGCTCATATTGGGCAGTAAATTGTTGAGAATAGCACCCTAAAATAAAGATGTCAGTAATTACTAAATTTATTTTACTTATAGGAATACTGAAATTGTTGTTCTCTGTTCTTAGGAAACATTTTCTCATTTGTCATTGGGAAGTATTTACATTTTATTTATCTAAGAAAATAATATTTATGTGATTTTTTAAAGTTCAATTTGTGATCATTGTGATTTGTGAATATGGGGAAAGTAGATACAGTTTTTTTAAAAAAATCTTATTTAGTTTTACAAAGTTTTACTTGTAAACGGAACTAATCAAATACATAAATGACCATGCCAAACTGAAAATTTATATTTATGGCAAATAAATGTCACTGTCACTGTCACTGTCCTCCCGTTGTTTTTCGATTTGCTCAAGCGGGCCCAGTAATGTCTCCATTTTGAGAATCTTTGTTACTGTGTTTGGCATATTGAATACATCACGAGTAGCTTGACGTGAGGGCGAGATACTCTCGGTAGCTTGCCGGGCTCTCCGAGAGGGGCAAAGGAATCTCTGAGAGGGGCGAAGGAATCAAACCTGGCTCGGCCGGGCTGGCTGCGTGCAAGGCAAACGCCCTTCCTCTGTGCTATCGCTCTAGCCCTTGTGTAACAACAAAGGAGAAAAATATATAATAAAAAAATCTATTGCTTTATCTTATTTAATGGACAGTAGCTTATTCCTAAGAATTCTACAGCTTTTCCATGCTATTCTATGCTCTATTTTGGCAACTAGACTTAACTGTTGTTCAAGTCTTACTTAACATCTCTTGTAGTCAATGCCACTACAACAGGTCAGTGTTTGTTTAAATACAGGTTCCCCTAACACACATCTGGGACTCAGGCTATCAGAATGCCCAATGCAAAGTCTTTTGAGCTGCAATGGGGTCTCACTTGAACCACATCCCAATAAGGCTTATTTCAACCATACCCCTTGTTGATAATCAATTCTTTCCTACCCTACTCTTCTGCTTTTTCTTCCCCAAAGGAAAGTTGCATACAGTAAGGGATCATTTTTAAGTTCTTACCTTGAAAAATAAACTAGAATTTGATCAATGTATAAAACATTTGGCCTTATAATTACCAAGTCTTGATAACCATCTGTCAGAAATTCATGCTTGGTTTGGTCTTCCCCTTCTAATTGCTGGTAGAGAACTGCAAACTTCTCAATCATGGTTTCATAAACGACTCGAGGTCTCTCCCATGTCACCAGAAGGCTGGTATAATTCTCTGGATCAGCTTGAACGTTTTCCGGTTCAGAACTACAAACTTTAGAGAAAAAAAAAAAGAACAGTTACTGAGAGGACTCTTAGCTTCCAGAATTTTAAATCTCTAACTTCTAAACCTCTGTTTTAATCTATTTCAATTGAAGAAATAGGTAGCTATATTTTTGAACTGTTTAAGTTTCAGTTAATACCACTTTTATCGTTTCAGGTCCTACCTGCCTTTATTTTTATTTAAAAAAATGTTATTAGTGAATCACCATGAGGTACAGTTACATACTTACAAACTTTTGAGCTTGCATTTCAGTCATACAATAATCGAGTACCCATCCCTCCACCAGTGCCCATTCTCCACCACCAATGATCCCGATATCCCTCCCACCACCCCCAGCCCATCCCCCTCACCCCACCCTGCCTCTGGGGAAGGGCATTCCTTTTGTTCTCTCTTTCCTTTTGGGTGTTGTAGTTTGCAAATAGAGGGATTGAGTGACCATTGTGTTCCATCTATAGTCTACATTGGGCATGCATCTCCCAGCCTGATCTTCTGGAAAGGTCATGGTCAAACTTGACTCCTCCATTTGCAATGTCGGATCTCTGCCAAGGTAACCTCCATTGTTTTTAATAGTCGATTTTGTTCTGCAAATATTATTCTAAAAAAGTGCATATTCTCTTATTTTTTTCAAAAAAGGGTCTTCATTCCTCAAACATAATATAAACAGAAGGCTAAAACCTTTTTAAAAACATGACCTTAAGGCACCTTTAAACTCAAGTGACAGTAATTTTTTTGGTTAGAAAACCCTTAAAATGATTAAAACTTCTCAGAAAAACATAGATGAACAAAGAAAACTATCACTTCAGTAGTTTTCAAATATGCTAGAGGAGAAAAAAAAACTTCACCTTGGAATAATAAATAAATGAAGCAATTAATTTCAGAGAATTAGAAAATCAGTTTATCCTCATCCTGAAAAGCTCTATTTTGAAAAGTCATTAGAGGGTTCAAGCCTATTCTGGGAACCATGCCAAAAATGGAGTCTCATCAAAAAGAATACTCTATATCTTCTGCAATGTATTTTACACCGATAGTTTGGACTGTGAAGATAAAAATTATAAGCCTTCAAAATATTGTTAATGAGTCAATAATATAACAAATATAACCTCTTCCTAGGCCAGAGAGATTAGAGCGGGAAAGAATTCTAAGGTCAAAGATTAATTAACAAGCTTTGAGAATCCAGGCTGAAGCAACAAAATTCCCAAAGGACAGTGTGCAGTTGACCCAGGGTAACCAATCATTGCTGCTGCAAAACTATTTCAAGGACCCAATAAAAACTAGTTAGCAATAACATCAGAATGAGTCAAAAACCTCTTCTATACCAGTCTGTGGTTTATTTGTTGAACACAGGGGGGCACCCTAAACTAACAAGTAGCCTTGTAAGTTAAAACTAAAATTTTCCAGAAGTCAGTACCTGCAGTCCTAAAACATGTATGCTATACCAACAGCAGTTTGTTCACTGGTGCAGAAAGATTTAAATATATGTATTAGATATAAATGTATACATGATTATAGGAATTAAAGACAGGAATTTTCACTGTAGAAGCAAACATAGGATTTTTTAAAAAAATCGATTGAGAATTTTGCATGAGATGCTGCTTTGGAATAAAAAGAAAATTCTTATATTGTAAAACCCTTAAATTCTGAGTAAGAAAACATATTGAAGTATTAAGGCATTGATTTGTTACTGTCTCATGACACTTCTGCTAGTGTCCACCAGATGGCAAAAGATCATCGAATCATAAGCTCAAAAGTGAGTTAGCACAGTCTGCATCATTGGAGGATCAGAATTGCCTTATTCTTGATTCTAATGAATTTCATTCTTTTGAGAAGACAAAAGTAGATTTTGTCGACCCAAAACCAAATCCACTTTTTAGAGAGTGGAAATAATTTAACGAGAATTGCATTCAAGTTTCAGGTAAGCAGAAAATGTAACATTTTTTTGAGAGCAAAACAAAAACCAAAAATGTTTTATACTTTTATTTTTTATACATAAAAAATGTTTTATACAAAAATGTTTTATACAGTTGACAGCCCCTTCCTCTCATCACTTATGTGAATTTACATGTAGAGTGAATAATTTTTACATAGAATGTATGAGACTTGTAGAGAAAACAGCAAAAGATTAATAAGCAAAGCGCAGTATTTTAAGGGAAAAAGAAGCTGTGGTCCAAAAAAATTAAATAAAATAAAGTATTTGTGCAAATGACAACACTTTAGTTGTGACAAGTGTCTCAGCTCATATTGAAAAGTGACGGAGATGGACAGCAAGAGATAGAAGTTTATTTTTGCCTTTGTTGCTCTTCTTGTGCCAACCTTGAGAGAAGGGCATTTTGCCCTGAGGAAAATGGTCTGTCCTCAATTTCAAAGATTGAAAGTTAAAAAGTGGATGGAGGTGAAAGGTGATGGTTCTTGGAGAGTGTAATATAAAGTGTCACAATTTCCCAAGGTATCATTAGGCTGTACCCAGATATTTCCCACGAACTGATTATTTGGTACAGTTTCACACAGCTCAAGACAAAAGTGCTTTGTGAAGGCACACTGATAAATGCATCACATTCTTGTCTGAGGTTTATATATACACAGAGACAGACAGACAGACAGACAGACAGTTAGAGAAGTGGGGAGAGAGAAACAAATACTTTGATAGTGACTATAAAAGAAGCTTGAAGATTTATAGATTCTGAAGGCAACCAATGTTAAGGTTATGATTTGCCCTCAGGGAGCAACAGATCTAAAGTAATTAATGTAAACAGTCCCATAAATGTTAAAAGCAATAACTGGAAATAATCTGATAGTTTTGCACTTCTAAATGATTGCATCATGCACGTTAGATACACAGTCAGATGAAATCTTTGCAATTCTATCCACATTAATCTTTTCTAGGCACTCACAGAAACTTTATCAACGTTTCAGTTCATGACATATAAACTCAGAAGTAAGTAATCATCAGGATTTTTTTTTTTTTTGGTATATAGTTAGAGCATTGTGCTAATGCATATATGACCTTACGGAACTCTATTTCCAGCTACTGACCTTCAAGAAGGTGAAACCACATCATAACATTTTCAGGAAATTAGAGAAAATTACTCATAACTTAAATACCCATTATGTTCTAAAACCCTCTTTCTATGCTGCTGTCTTGAAAGTATTCTGTTTATTAGTTTATAAAGCTTTTATTAAATTTATTACAATTCTAGCAAATTATATTTTAAATGAAATTATAAGACTATTTAAAGTAGGAAAAGAGCTTTCTGGGTCTGGGGTTAGTTCAGTGGCAAAAGTATTTGCCTTCTAACCATGAGGCTGGTTATGCCAAGAGTACGATCCCCTCCATTATCCCAGTGGCTCTACTATTTTGGAGCAATCACTAGGGTTCTGACCACATGTGTGGATACAAAGTATCTGTAGCCTTTCAGTCAAACACAAGAACAATAAAAAGAAAGGGAAGGGAATAAAAAATATCTGATAAAAGAAAAAAGTATTCGATATGCCAGACACAGTAACAACAAAAGAAAAAACAAAGTCAATAATACCAAATATTTCCTGTGATAACTTGCTTCTATATATTATAATAAAAACATATGTATCATACAGCACATATGTATAAGCCAAATGGAATATATGTATGTTGCATACATTATAGAAATACACACAATATTTATACACATATTACAATTGATAATAGTTATGGTTGTGGGTAATTGTGTTCTGTATTGCTTTGCAAACTTTAAGACCTTCGAACAATGCTCTAAGATGACCATTATTTGAGGGTGGTGGGAGGACATCCCGAGCAGTGCTCATTGGGGATTGGGAAAACTCTTGGTGATTCTTAACCAACTGGTTGGACAATTTAGTACTAGGGGTCAAGGATGCTAAGATGCTGTTGAAGCACTGGCATGCCCCTTCATCCAGCTACTATTTCCTGCTTCCCCCCCCCCCCCCGCAAGTGAACATTTTAAACTCTATCTTTAAAAATAAAGAAAATTAGGCTTACAGAAAACAAATAAACTAACAATTTACATATAATTTTTTTCCAGAGCTCAAATTCCACTATTGGCCTCAATTTTGAAACCAAGAATCTACTAAACAAACTTTCAGGTTATTTCCCACTGAATTGTGGGAGGTAGAAGGTTTCTTCGTGAAGGCACCCATCCTGGGCACTGGGGGCAGCAGGAAAGTAAGTTCTGCCTCAAAGACACAAGATGCAGTTAAACTCACTTGACACTCATGCTATGTTTCACATCACTGTGCACACATTTCTCATGATCTGAAATACAGATTTTATTGATGACTTGAGGACCAGATGGTTCTCTTAATGTCTATGATTCTTAGGAGAACCAGTATTCATTCCATAATACCAAAATAACCACCTTTCTAATACATGGAGGTTCCTTATGAAATTGCAAACATAGAGGACTGAGGTGATATATGTATTAATTCATATATATTTATTGTAGTTCGTCCTTCCATGCAAAGATAAGAATTTGGGCTGGAGTGACAGTATCATGAGGACGGTGCTTGCCTTGCACACGGCTGACCAGACATCAATCCCAGAATTTGTCTCTACCTTTAAGACGTCTTCATGGATATACATATCTCACAAGGTCTTTTACAATTTTTTGCAACGTATTATGAAAAAATATTTTTCTAAACTGTACTTATAGAGAGCAGAATTCTGAGAATTTTCATGACACATCTTCTCCCTTGCTCAAAATAAGGATGTCAGCTAGTTACTATAGGCAAATAAATAACAAATAAATGTTTTAAACTGAAAAACTTGTTTAACAAATTGTCATATATATATATAAATTACATGGAATGCGACAATAAAGATAAATTTGTGTTACAGAGTAAAACAAAATGAAGATACACATTTATCAAATACTATTATTTCTATAAGATAAAATAACATATATTTATTTTGGTTTGGGGGCCATACCCAGTGGTTCTTAGGGCTTATTCTGAGCTTTGTACTCAGGTATCATTATAGAAGTGCTCAAGGGATTATAAATGGTGCAGGGATTGAGCCCAGTTCAGCCACATGCAAGGCCAGCACTTTACCCACTGTACTATCATCTCCCTGGGACAGAATATTATTTTTAATTTCAGAGAAAAATACAGAGAATATTCACAAAATATCCATTACCTGATATCTGAGTAGCTAACTTATAGTTTTTATTTTCTGTGATAAAATTTTCTAATAATACTCATGTAATTAGAATTTTCAAACTAAATTGAATAAGGATTAAATACTGAACATAAGTGCAATCCTCATTCGTAAGGTCAGTTTCTGAAAGTAAAATGTAGATAGCATATCAATTAAGGAAAAAATTCAATGACATGAATACACATGAGGCAAAAAAAAAAGGGTTTGATAAATGCAAACATGCATGATAAAAAAAGGCAAGAATTTAGTTGTAGTTTTTGAAGAAAGCAGTACTTTTCTTTGAAAGTTCCCTGTATTTGAAGTCATAGCTTTCATTATAATAATGCTTCCTCATTAATATAAAGCATAGTGGAAAAAAGCTTTGGAAGACTTTAGAATCAAAAAGGCCTGGGATCAAATAGCAATTCCATCCCTTTATAGTTTTGAGAGCTTGGGTCAGCTTCCTATAGCATATAAATTGGAAATGGGCCAAGATTATAGAGGAAATACTGAATCAGTATTGCCAATGCTTGATGAACATGCTGACTCACCTTACACATGCTAACCACTACTGCAACTCCGCCTTTTATCTTTCACCAGGTAATTGTAAAAACAACACGGTTACACTGTATCACTGTCATCCTGATGGTCATCGATAGCCTCGAGCAGGCCCCAGTAACATCTCCTTCTCCTAGCCCTGAGATTTTAAAAAGTGCCACATTCGAGGCTAAAGAATGAGAATGAGAACCATCATTGTTACTGGTTTTTGGCATACTGAATTCGCCATGGGGAGTTTGCCAGACTCTGCCGTGTGGGCAGGATACTTTTGGTAGCCTGCCAGGATCACCAGAGTAAGACCTAGATAATAAGATGTCGCGGCCGTGCGCTTCCAGGGGCAGAATTTTATAGTCTCTGGGTCTTGGCCGTTGATGGGATTACACGGCCCTGGGGGCAGTTGGTGGGTGTAATGCCTGAAAGATGGGGGATCTGGGTGGAGGAGGCCCCAGGCCCAATCCGAGCCAGCTTGGAGATCTACACCCCAGGTGCTGCACATCTGGGTTCCTCTACCTATCCCTTCATGTCCTCACCTGGGCCCCTTGGAGGAGGGTGGGTTGAGTTTCCCTCCCCACCCTGAGCAGAGCCCTGGCAGCTGAAGACCTCCGGTTCCAGCCACAGCCATGCTTAAGACCACTGTCCATGGTCACACATGCAATGAAAATGCTACAAATGGGTTACATCAGAGGATAACCTGCTATGAATCTTATTATGTGGATATGGATTCTTTTAATCACTCGATGAATATTTGCTGAATGAGAGGTTTAGTTCAGTAATGGAGACAAAAGGACAAAACAAGAGAAATCTAAGTCATTCCTTTCATGGGCTTTAGAATACAAAGGAAAAGAAAATAATCTCAATAGACCATGGCCATACCATGGATTTTGCCATGAAGTTTGGGGCCATAGATGGAGAACAATAGGGAGCATCACACAGGACTAGATGAACATCATTTCTCTTGTCCTCTATGGGTGTGGTATCCCTGCTGGTGGCCCAACCTGGGTCAGACTCAGTGGACTGGAGTTAGAACTCTCCTGAGGATATCAGGGGAAACTTGGGTCAAGAAGAACAAAGTGATATCAAGAAGAAGGAACAGTGAAGAAGACACCATGGAGAGGAAATCGCACATTTAAATACAACTGGAGAATGCGATCTTCTCTCTTCTGAGGGCCAGGGAGAGGTCAGTGTGAGGCAGGGAAGCTGGTGGTGGAGCAAGCCCCATGGGGTCTGCGTGTGATCACTCTGAGGTTTTAATAAAATGGACCCGATGAAAGGACATGATGAAAAGAATGATGTTTGTTTGATTGATTATTTGGTTTGTTATAATTTAGAAATGGAGATGGTAAAATTGAGCCTCTTTTTTTTTCTAAATCAATTGTCAATTACTTACTAGAGAGGGTTTCTAGGATTTAAGATTGTTGGTAGAGGCATAATTAACTCTCCTCCCTTTGGGATAATTTAATTCAGAACTTAATGTCACATTAAACACAGCCATTCATCACTGGTGTCTTGCACTGTATTTTTGTTGTTTTTAAACAATTTTCTCAAATATCACATTAAAGTAATAAAACCTTGCCATTTTAAAGCCCACCTTGGCAAAAGAGATGACTATTAAATTAGTATAATACATGACTCCATAGTCATTGCAGGGCTGACAAAGGAGACCACCTCCTTGAAAAGTTCTATGTCTCCAATGCAAAGTTTTATGTCTTCAAAAACTTAGACTTGCTTGAATCAGTAAACCCTCTACAAGTCAGAAAGGGTCAGTCAACAGATGCAATTCACTGTGTACATTTTTAAGAGTTTCTGACTGTTGAACCAGCTTTAAAAGACACTGAAGTCACTAAGAATCTTTCCTCTGATTTATGCTGGCAAGGCTTGAGCAACTTACTTATTTTGAGCAACATATTTTTAAGGGCAAACTTAGTTATTTTTCACAAAGGGGAAATTGGGTGACACTCACTTTTTAAGCATTAGCAATGCACGGGGCTGGGTGTCCCTGTACTGCCACATCAAGATGGGGCTGGGGTGACAGTACAGAGATACCCAGGCCTCATTTGCTCTTTGCCACCAAGCATTGCTGGATCTAGTCTTTAAGGATGCCCTGGTGGTCCCTGACATTTCAGAGCCAGAGCAGCACCCTTGCTTTGAACTGTGGCTGGGGTCTCCAGAGCACCACTTGGGAGGCCCTTCCACAGAATATCAAGAAATCAGTGCACTTGATTTGTGACATTAGGTTCTTCATTGGGAGTTGCTAACAAAAATCTAAGCTCTTTAAAATGCTATCAAATGTCAAAATTTGGGTCAAATGTGATTCTCCCAGAAAGTTCCCTAATCACTAAAGCCAGAGTGTAATGCCTCTAAGCTCTGCATACCTTAACCCCTTAACCCCTTCTCTCTTTTAATCATTCTTTACTTTTTCATTGTTTCTTATTGGCAAATCCTCTAAAATTATCTTGGTGATATTAGGTTGTTCTGTACCTATTATTGTGCATTGGAAAAAATCACTTTATTGAGTCTCATATTTTTCATATTCAAATGAGATGTTTCATGTGAGAAGAATACAGTTTTGATTTACCATCTTATACATATGGCAACTGAGATTCAGAGAAGTTAAATAATTTACTCAGCTATCAATCTAAGAATCAAAATATTTCTGAAAGTCTAAGGATTGCATATATTCTATTGTACTGCAATTGCTTTTGATCATTTTAAAACTGCAGACTTGTGAGGAAATTATATTTTAGCACATACCTGCTTCATGAATCTCTTCCTTTCCAGTATATGAGGAGAACACCTGCCTAGAGAATTTGTACTGTTGTTCTCGAAAATTATTTTGCACATAGTCCATCAGCATGACGTAACCTGACTGCTGCATTGTAAGAACTTCACAAAAAACAGCCAACTGGAAATAAGAAGATTTAGCATAGAATTTAGCATATCTGGTGCAAAGGTATCATCAGGCAAGGATATAAGGTAATTATTCAGTGAGTATTATAAAATAACTCTTTTTTAAAATAGCTTCAAATAACGTCACTGAATTTCTAGAATTACCTGGCTTTCAGAGATGCTAACTGTATCTTTAAAAATAATCCAGTCCACAGTGTCGGTGCACGGAGGAGAGGTCAGTGAGCCATTGTAAGTGTAATACTTGTCAGTTGAGTTCGGCAGAAGGTTCAACAATATAAATTGATCTAAGGCAGCCTGTTTCCCTAGAAAAATAATAACATAATGTCTCATCTGGAGTCTCAATGCTGAAACCTAGCTGTTTAATTTTTATAGACAGCAAGACTTAAGCTTTGCTATAGTTTTAATCATAACTGAATTTCTCTTTTTGGGGGTGGGGGCATAATTTCGTTTTTTGTTTATTTGTTTTGTTTTGGGCCACACCTGGAGCTGCTGCGGGGTGATGTCTGACTTTGTGCCTGGGGGCTGCTCTAGGTGGTCTTAGTGAACCCTAATGTACTTAGGGCAAACCCAAGCTGGCTCCATACAAAGCATGTGCTTAGCCTTCTAGGTCCTCTAGGGACTTTGAAAGGAAGGAGGGATGGGATTAATTAGGTGCATGTAACAACTTCTAGAGCATTTTAGAAATATAAACTATTAATTGAATTGGTGTCATTTAGATACAATCTAAGTAAGTAAAGTAAAGTAAGTAAGTAAAGGCCCTCCCGTTGATCATCGATTTGCTCCAGCGGGCCCAGTAACGTCTCCATTGGAGACTTTATTGTTACTGTGTCTGGCATATCGAATACTCTTGGTAGCTTGCCGGATTCTCCGAAGATACAATCTAAATTTAGTTTTAATTCTTTTTGAAAACTCAAGTTATAATTGGTTTTAGTGAATTAAATACTTACTTCTCACAATATATTTTCTCTTCCAGTATCAAAACTGGATGATGAGAATTAAGACTCTGTTTTCAGTGCTCTAAAACTTAGGAAAATGTTTGTTTCTAATTATGTAATTGTGTCTCCAGTTTATTTTAATTTTATTTTACTTTTAACTTTTTTTGGGTCACACTTGGCAATGCTCAGGGGCTACTCCTGGCTCTGCACTCAGGAATCATTCCTGGCAGTGCTCAGGGAACCATATAGGATGCTGGAGATCGAACCCAGGTTGACCATATGCAAGCCTAATGCTCTCCCCACTGTATTATCACTTCAGTCTCTGTGTCTCCATTTTAATATGAGAATCTTTTATGACTCATTTCCTTCCCATATTATATACCATCCGTGTATATACATATATATATTTTCTGCTGAAGACAAAATTTACATTAAAATATTATACAGATGATGACATTTTCATAACAAGGAACCAGAAATGAATTCACTGCTAAATTAGACAGGGAAATATATTGACATCAAAAGAGACAGCATGAAAGGAAAAACAGGTGAGACCTGAACATACTGGCAAACTACAGAATTTTGTCAAAATCAAGAAACAAATTAAATGGGGACAGTCAAGAAGAATAGAATAGAAAGAATCAGGAAAAAAAGTTTATGATTCTAATTCCTTTATTTTGTTATGGATATGGATTTATGCTTTTTGGAGGTGAGTGTTATTTACATACATATCCTAAATTTCTTTCTGTCTTTGACATTCCAAGACATTTAATTTTTATTCAGGTGCCACTGGTCATAATACTTTTTATATATTTCAGGAGTCCAGCTTCATACTGTGATAGGCGTATATGCAATATGCCACCCACCACCAAATTTCTAGTAGCATTAGCCACTATCTAGTTATTCCCCTCCACCACTCATTACACTCAGAGACTCTTCACTCACAGTTTTTCTTTTCAGATACTTGTTAAGGAAACAGAAAATTGGCTGGAGGTGATTTTTGTGATTTGCAAAAACAAGTTTCATTTTAATGGCCTCACTACTGCTAACACAACAGAATCACACCTGAGTATTGCTGCTCTATTAATAATCAGTCATTCAATTGCCCAACTCTAGCCATAAACAAAAAATTCATGATTAAACAATCAACCAGATCCCCCTCCACAAGAAGGAGTGAGTTGGGGGAGATATGGGAGAAGTAGATACAGAAAGATAAAGACAATATCATAACAGATTTAAGAAATAAGCCACTAAATACTTAAAACCCAATTTTATTCCTTAGGATGATAACACTTGAGATGAGGCATGTTAAATGCCTGGAGGACTGTTCAATAAGAAAATTTCTAGATATTTGTGATTAAATGAGTACTTTGACTCATTCTGTTTGGAACGCCTGTTTGAAAATCACGAATGACGTGACTTGGGTGTATTTCTTCCTCTTGTAATGAAAAGATCACAACTAACAGTTCTCCCTTTCATGGACTCTGTCCAGTGTAGGGGATTAATGTATTGTCTTTATGCCATAGCCTCTTAACCCTCTTTCACCACTCCATGAATAGAACAATGCCTAGGGGAGAGAAGGAAGGGTGGAAGGAAAGGGGAAAAACATAAGAGGAAGGAAAGCTGGAAATGGGTTTGTTATTTGTAGAGGAATATATGAAAGGAACAGTCAGTTCCCACTGTTCTAGAACAGAGTTTAATCGGCTGATGTCTGAAAGTGTTCTTTTCTCTCCATCATTTTCTGTGTAAAATATCAAATCTCAGCTATTGGTTGACTAATATCAAACACCCATTCAAATTAACTGACGATGTTTTATTTGTGTACTTAAACATATAGCTGGTATAGTACAAAGGCCCCCAAACTTATTTTTGCCTCCTTTTCAAAAAAAATTACTCAGTACTGCTTCCTGGAAATCTATCATGCTAAGTGAACAAACAGAAAGCATCTCCCAATTGCACGCAAGACTACTACGGGCCCCATTTTGAATTGATCCAGAAACCCCAATCCCAGAGCAGGACTGCATCCCCCACTTTGGAAAACATTGGAGGGTGGGATTTTGTGGAGAGATAAGAATTCAATCTGCCTCCCCTCCTTCACAACTTTATAGCCCCAGGTGCCCTGGCTGAGCTGACTGAGGAGTCAAGAATCTCTTTGTGGACCTAAACATTGACAATGTTGCACTTTGCACTTTGATGAAAACAAGAGGAAGAAGAGGGAGAGAGAGGGAGAGAGAGAGAAAGAAAGAGAGAGAGCACCAGAAGAATTTTTCAAAAAGGAAGGAATTCATATATCACTGACTTCTGAAATACTTGGTCAGCTTTGGGCCCCATATATCATTGACAAAGATGAATTAATATTAGGCCCAGAATTTTTCTTTCTATAAAAAAAACTGTAAGCCTTGCTTTTGATTTTAAATTTTACAGCCAACCAGAGGAAATAATATTCATTTTAAAAATAATTTAGGGGGCACGGTAATGTTTTGTATGTGGGAACAAACAGGAATGACAGCTATATTAGTGTTATTGTCTATAGTCAACATTATCAAAAACATTAACTGTATAAAGGAAAAGATTCACGAGGCAGTAGGTAGAACAATAACAGGACATAATGTTTCTTGTTCTGTGTAAGTGTTCACCTTTTTCTAAAAACCCTATCATTTTGGCAAAGCAAAAGAATCTACCTTTGTGAGAAAACTATCAGGAAATTATTTTTAATTTGGCTTTTGGGTTTTTCATTTTTTTATTTTAATTTTTTTGACTGGTTCAGCACCTCCATGATTGTGCGAAGAACGTTGAGAGACAGAAAGCCACAAAAAAATGCCTCTCTTCAAAAACTCTTGAGTTTATTTGCCAACGTGCCTTGCGCAAGCCTCAGGCAACCATGAATGAACACAAAGCAGTGCAGAGATGAGATAAAGGAAGACCTCAAAGAGAAAAGAGCAGCAGTGCTGTCAGATGTGGCAGAAGCTGGGAAAAGCATTCGCAATGCCCGCCTGTCCTTCATCAAATACAAGACCAAGATGACTATCCTCCCACGTCCTGATGGATCTATCACATTTTCCAGAAGGGCAATGGAGAAGATAATCTATGACTTCTACTAGGATCTCTTTGATAGCCACGTCCACTGCCCACATACCAAATTCCGCAGGATGGATATGTTATTCCCAACATTCTCCCTTCCAAAATCAGACACCCCATTTCATCGGTAAAGAAGTGAACAGCACCTGGCCAGGACAAAGTCAGACCCAAACACCTGAAGATTCTGCCGTCAGTACTCATCAATACACTGGCTCGGCTCTTCACATGCTATCTCTCTGAATGTAAGTTTCCATCCCAGTGGAAAACCAGCAGGACTGTACTACTGTACAAGAAGGGAGACACCCAGGACATTGGCAACTATTGCCTGATTTGCCTGTTTTCTGTCATCTACAAGCTGTTCACTTGAGTCATCCTGAATAGGATTGGCAGAACACTAGATGAAGGACAACCATATGAGCAAGCCGGGTTCTGCAAAGGATTCAGCAAAGGATAACCAAGCTCATTGAGGTTTCTTGGGAGTTCAAGATGCTGCTCTGTCTAACATTCATTAATTTAAAGACGGCCTTTGATTCTGTTGAGACGGAAGCAGTCATTGAAGCCTTAGTCAAACAGGGTATTCAAACTCAATACATCAGGATCCTCCATCAGCTGTATTATGGATTCACTACCAGGATCTCACCATTCTACAAAGAAGTGATCATCCATGTCAAGAGAGAGGTTCGACAGGGTGATACCATTTCACCGAAATTCTTCAGTGCCACCCTCGAGAACGTCATGTGACCACTGGAATGGGAAGGAATGGGAGTGAAGATAGACGGTCGGCAACTACACCACCTCTGCGTCACTGATGACATCGTTCTAATAACACCAAACACTAGCCAAGCGGCACAAGTGCTGGCTGACTTCGACCATGAGTGTGGAAAGGTCGAACTACAGCTGAATCTCACAAAGACAATGTTTATGAGAAACAGTCTTGTTCCTGATGTTTCATTCGCTCTCAATGGAACGAACATCTCCGAATGCAACAGCTATGTGTACCTAGTTTGAGAAGTCAACATGACAAAAGACCTGGCACCTGAGTTGCACAGGAGGAAGAGAGCAGCTTGGAACGCCTTCAAGAGCATTGAAGAAATAGCTAAGAGGATGAATAACCTTCGGCTCCGGGCACAACTCTTCGATTCCACTGTTCTTCCTGCATTAACATACACCTTAAAGACCTGGGCCTTACGAAAACAGGATGAGAATGCTATTTGGGTCTCCCAAAGATGAATTGAAAGAGCTATGCTTGGAGTATCACGCGTCGCTCAAATGAGAGAAAGAATCCGGAGTTCTGACCTCTGTCGACGATCAAGAATCAGGGACACTGTCTCTTTTTCCAAGGCATTGAAAATCATATGGACTGGACACATAATGAGATTTGGAGACGACCGCTGGACTAGAGCTTTTACTGACTGGATTCTATGGGACGTCAAAAGATCACATGGCCGCCCACCCACGAGATGGTCAGACTTCTTCATCAAGACCCTGAACGATTGGTTTGAGGCTCTTCGTGTTCCTAGAATGAGCAGACACAATTGGGCTACACTAGCATGTGACAGGGATGAATGGAGACATTATTAGTGCCCACTTTAGCAAATCAATGAGTAATGGGATGTCAAGTGGTCAAGTGACCAAGTGGTTTTTGGGTGGGTGACACATGACTGTGCTCAGGGCATACTCCCGGCTCTGTACTCAGAAGACCATACTCATGGGGGAATGGGTTGGGTCTGCTTCATGCAAGGTGAGGGAATAACTCCTGAATGATCTCTAGAGCCCCCAGGAATTAAATTTTAATTTCATTAACAACTCCTTGTTTATGTTAGAACACATATTTTATAAATCTGGTCTTTTTTTTCTTTTTTTCCCCTTTTTTTTGCCATGCTTTGTATTGCTTGGGTGTGGCCTCTTGACTCTGTACTCAAGAATCATGACCTGGAGGGCTCTGGGGACTATATGGGATGCAGGGCATCAAACTTGTGTCTACTACATGCAAGGTAAGTGCCCTCCTTGCTGTACTGTCACTCCTTTCCCCCAAATATGATTTTTATATATCTAACTGGCTTCAGATTATATTAGTTCTTAAGATATACAGTAGAAAAAGAATAGACAAAATTTAAATGCATGATGTGATTACATCTTTTTCAGGAATAAAGTTAGAAAACTATTTATATTTCCTGACTTTCACATGATGAAAAATTTATGAAAAAATTTACTTGATGAGGAATATGTAAATCATTGAGTGAAGAGTGAGATTGCTCCTTTAAAAAGTATTTTCCCTTCCTCCTTTTGAATTTTTTTTTGTAAATTGTAAAAAAACACATATTCAAGAGAGATAATGCTAATATCTTACCAAAGAGACTAACACTTTCAATTCCATCAATAATTGGTTTGTAATCCAAATTTTCTTCCAATCCAACCTGTTAAAGAAAAATAACATTCTAAAATTAAGATAAAATATTTGCTTAACTATTCAATGTAAAGACTAGAGAATTTCATCTTAAGCATTAAGTATAAAAGAAATGTTCTCTAAATGTACATTTTATTTCTCAAGGCAAATGTAAAAGAAACAAAAAAAAAATTCTATTAAGAAAAGTACGTTTTAAACATTCAAATTCAAAATTACTTCTCTATCAAGAACAAGCAAGCACATCTGTGCACTCACAAAACAATTTTGTCCACATAGAAGTAATATAAACAATTAATGAACACAAGATCCATTTTAAAATAGCAGTCAACGAGTCAATATTATTGAAAATGACTACCCGTTGTTATTCTACTTGTGAGTTCTTTAATTTCTTGCAAAGATTTTACATATTCAAAAAAAAGAATTAAGTCAATGAAAAGTTCTATATCATGATTACCTCAAATAAAATCGATAAAGCTCTTAACTTTCCTTTTTCTTTAACTGCGTCATCAAAACTCGAAAACTGGTCAGCATCAAAACAGTAGATTTGCATCTATAAAGGCAACAATATTAAATTTATTATATATAAAGACTTCACAAGTCAGGAGAGAACTCTAAGGAAATATTTCACCTTTTGCCGAGTTAGTAATTTAATTTGAAGAATTCTATAAACTGTGCGAGTCATTGTTCTGTATATATTATTCTTATTTATTTATTTATTTTGGGCCCACACCTCACTATGCTCAGGGATTACTCCTGACTATGCTCATGGATCACTCCTAGCTGGGCTAAGGGGCCCATTTGTAAGGATTGAAACTGGATGGGCAGCATTCAAGGCTACTACTGTCTTATCACTTTGGTCCCTCTGTACATTTTTAAATTATTTTATTGATTATGTTTATACAACTCTATTACAGTATTTATCATTCCTGAGGAAGAGAGGAAATATCAAGTTATATTTATCTACAACTGAAAACCCCAAGTTGTGATTACCAAGAGGTGCAAGTAATAATTTTCTATCAGATATATTACTAGTGTGCTTTGGGGGAAGCACACCCAGCAGTGCTCAGGAATCACTCCTAATGGGGCATGGGGGCCAAATGGGATGCAGGGGATTGAACCTGGTTAGCAGAGTGCAAGGCAAGTAGTCTACCTGCTGTGCTGTCTACAGTCCCTACCAACGTACTTTCAGTGATTTTGCTAGAATTCTTTCAAGCATAGTTTACTTTTTTTCTTAAATGGACATACTTTTCTCGATGGCCCTTAGTTATCATTTTTAGACATTTACCATGTTGTTATTTCCATTAATGGTGAAACTCCTAGGATGCTGAATCTACCTAAAATACATCAAAGAATCCTAGGTCTGTATTGTCTTTCTGCTGCAAGGCTATCCCATGCTAATTTCTACTCTGATATTTACCTCTAACAACCTCAACTTTCAATCAAAATTCGGCACTTCTTGTGTCACGGACTTGGGAATCAGACCACTCAGACGGTTCTGAAGTCCAATTAAGGGCCGCGCGGAAAGTCTTTGAAACCATTAAGGCACAGTTGGGGCTGTGATCACTGAAAGCATGTATGAAGTAGAGGGCTGGCAGTCACACCTGACTGAGTGGTCACTTAAAGCCTTCCAGAGAGAGGATTTCTAAACTAATCCATGATGAATGAGAAGCTTAAAAGATGGCAGACGATAAGGCAGAAGAGATGGATGTGTTCAAATCAGAAAAAGTACCAATCACAGGCAAGAAAGCACGAGAAAAATGGGGAGTTGAATATTAGTGGTGATTCCAACTGAGGATCTGTGAGAAAAAAAAGAAAACATGAGAAGGCTGGAGGGCCGAGAGGCACTTTAGGAAGACCTGGAGGTTGATGTTGAAGGCAATGAATGGAAGAGGTTGAAATACAGGAAATGGGGCTGGGTAGGAAGCAAGAGTGGGAGTAGGTAGGGAGAGAGGAAGAGATTGTGAATGGAGAGAGGCATATTAGTTTAGGGACCTTTAATAACCAAAGTAAATGATAATTTGAGCATTTTTTTCCTGACTCACCCTGTCTTTTGCAGTAAAATTTAAAAGATCAGTGCGTGGGATGAGAGGATCAGAAAAAAAAAAAATGAAACAAATCGAGTTTGTCTTCCACTTTTCCCTGTTTGCACAGAAACAGAATTTTGAAAAGAACCAACAATGGACAATTTGTCTTAGGAATGACTTGAAGTCTCTTTGAATGGAAAAATATACGAGGTTCAGTGTAAGAGCTTTTGCATCATTTATTTTGGTTCCAGGACTTATATTGTAATTTTCAGAATTTTTTTCTGAGATGCCCTTCTTGTTTATTTATAGCATCTTAATTGATAAGTGCCTTACACTGATGAAATTAAGATTTAAAATGTTAAACACAATGTATTTCTATTTACATTTTTTATTAAGTAATATTGGTTTAGATGATTTCGTATGTTTCAGAAATGTTTTTTTCACAAATTATCAGAAGTAAGTTGGTATACCACAAACATCACACAAATGTTGAAATCCCTCTATACAATCATGTATTAGATACCCTACTCCAACCTCCCCATCTCCGTATCTGGAAAATTTAGTTCTCTACTTCAAACTCAAGGTTAGTTTTTGTTTTGTTTGTATTCGGGCCATATCCTGCAGTACTCAGAGCTTACTCCTGGCTCTGTGCTCAAGGATCACTCCTGGTAGGGCTTAGGGGACCATATGTAGTGTGAGGTCAATTAAGTGCAAGGAATTGTTTGTATACTTGCTTTGTTTGTTTCTTTTCTGAGGGAGAGAGGATTTGAACCAAACCCAGAATTTCTCATGGTACCAGTGATCAAATCAAGGTTACCAGTATGCAAGGCATATCTCATATATCCTGTATAAATACCATACATCTTCTACTCTGTGCTTTGTTTCTTTATAGCCTACAAGAATCTATGACTATCCAGTATTTGTCCTTATTTCTTACTTATTTCCTATATCATTCCCCATTCCAGTTCCATTAATGTTGGTACCAGTGGCAAGATTTTATTTTTCTTTACAATTGGTTAGTATATCATTGAGTTTATAAATCACATAGTCTTTAATTGTTGGTCACTTTTCCCCCCATAATTTGACTCTTGTAAATAGTGCTGCAATGAACATAGGAGTGCGTAGCTACTTTTCATTTAGTGTTCTTTAAATTATTTGATTGGATACCTAGCAGTGGAATTGCTGAAAAAATGCGTAAGTTTAATTTTATTTAGTACCTTTGAACACCACACTGTAATCCAAAACTGTAATCCAGTTTATATTTGCAATAATGTACAAGGAAGGGTTCTTCTTTCTCTGCAACTTCATCAATGTTTTAATTTCTGGTGAAAGCCACTCTCACAGATGTGAGTTATGGAAAAATACAATACAAAATGTACTTTTGATTTCTATTCTCCTGAAAATAAGTTATGATGAGGACATATTTATGTGCTTCTTGGTTATCTATATGCATTCTTTAGAGAATTGTCCATTCAGCCTCTCTGTTCATTTTTATACACACTGCTGAGTTTTATGATATATTCGATATACACTTATTGTCCTTGATATTAGTTCTTGTCAGTTATCACGAATCACGACCATCCTGTTATTCGTCAATTGCCTCGAGCAGGCCCCAGTAACGTCTCCTTCATCCTAGCCCTGAGATTTTTTAAAAAGTGCTATATTCAAGGCTCTTTAGGAGAATGAGACCCATCATTGTTACTGGTATTTGGCATATTGGGTACACCACGGGGAGTTTGCCAAACTCTGCCGTGTGGGCAAGTTACATTCGGTAGCCTGCCAGTTTGTCCAAAGTAGGAATGAGATAATAAGATGTTGCGCGGCTGCAAATGCGGCCGCACGGTTCTGGGAGCTAGGTTCTGTGAGAAAAGGGAAACTGCCTCTTACAAATTTTTCATAAAAGTTAGCTGAGGCTTGTAAGATAAGTTCTTGCTTTCTCTAAACTCTTATTTCACTTTAGTTTTAGGCCCTAATTCCACAGCTCTTCCTGGACAGTATAGATTCTTAAGTTCAAAAGAATAACTGTTAATAACCATTAATGTTCTTCCAATAAGAAATTTAGATTGAGAATTCTGCTTTCTCTGTAGGTAACTTTCTGATAAGAAATCTTCATTTAAACCTTGTCTAGCAAGTTCCAGAAACAACTACACTTCTTAAATTCCTAGGTTGCATATCACTCACTGACTTCTCTAGAATTCCTACTTCTGATTTCAACCTGGTTCAGTTATATGATGTCAGTTATATGATGTGTAAATATTTCTTCTGTTGAATAGGATGACTTTACATTTTATTGGGGAGTGGAGGAGAAATGGGCCACACCAAGCTATACTGAAGGATTACTCCTGACTCTGCTCTGGGATCACCACTGGTAGGGCTTAGAAGTTCATATTTCTTACAGAACTTGGGAGATCATATATATTGAGAAGGACTGAATCAGGATTGGCCACATATAAGGCAAGTGACACACCCACTGTACTAACTCTTCAGCTCCCCAGATTTTAAAGCTAGTTTCTTTCCTATGCAAAAACTTTTTAGTATGATGAATTCCTAGTTGTTAATTTATTTTTTAGTTCCCTTTCCTGTAAAGTCCCCAAAGACACATGTTAAGTCAGTATCATGGAATGTTTTGCCTATGTTTTTGTCTGCATATTTTGGGGTCTCATGTGTTCCATTCAAATCTTTAATATACTTTGAATTAACTTTAGGGTATGGTATGATATATAGTGTTCTAGTTTTATTGTTTTGCAAGTGAATTTCCAGTTTTCCTGAAAATTGTTAGAGAGATTTTTTCTTTCTTCATCATACACTCTTGACTTTTTCATAAATTAAGTGCTCAACTATACATGGATTTATGTTTGGGCTTTCAATTCTATCCAATTAGATCCTGTGTCAATTTTTTATTCCAATACCATATATATATACATATATATATATATATACACACACACACACACCATAGATAACTTTGTATATAGTGTAAGTTCGGAATCTGATGCATCCCTCTTTTTTGCATTTTAGGATTGATTACTGGGGATGTTTGTGTTACCATACACATTTCAGTGATGTTTGTACTATTCCCTGAAGAAAGCCATTCAAATTTTGATAGGGAACGTATTGTATCTATATACTTATTTGGGTAGGATGTCACTTTGACAATGTTAACTCTTCCAGTTCATGAAATAGAATATCTTTCCTTGTTTTAGTCTTCTTTTGTTTATTTCAACGAAGTCTTACAGTTGCATTTTTTGTGTCTTTTGTCAATTTATTTTTCTAGGTACTAATTGGTTTTGCTTTTGCAACACACTCAGTGATGCTCAGGGTTTATTCATGCCTCTGTGCTCAGGATCACTCCTGGAGTAGCACAGGAGACAGTATGTGCTGACAGGGATAGAATTCTGGTCAGCCATGAGCAAGACAAGTACCTTTCTTACTGTGCTATAGCCCAGCACTAAATAAAAAAAAATCAGTTGTAAATAGAACAGTCTTTTTTCTCCTCTCTTTCACTGTTAGTTTAGAGAAGCATAATAGATTTTGGTGTATTCCTTTTGTAGTACACCACTGTAATATGCTGGTTTATTTTTTCTAGTGATTTATTAGGAGTCTGTAACGTTTATGTATATTATCTTCTTAGTTGCAAACAGTGCAACTTTACTTCTTTTCTGATTCAAATTTCTTTTTCTTGCCTAGTTGCTCTGGTTAATACTTCTGTCCTACAATGAATAGTGGTGATGCAAGAAACTTAATTTTCTATCTGATTTTAGAGAAAAACACTTCTAGTATTTTGCCATTGAGTATGCTGTTGGTTGAGGTTTCCACAAATGGCATTTTTTTGGGTTTAGGAGCACCCCCTGTCGTGATTTCTGAGCATTTTTATAACAAAAAAAGACAATGAATTTGTCAAATGCTTTTTCCCTGCATCTACTGATATGATCACATTTATTTTTCCTTTTTTGGTTTATGTGCCACATCTGCTCTGTTCAGGATTCACACCTGACTCGGCCACCAAAGAATCAATCCTGACGGGACTTGATTCGCTAGTAGGTTGATAAAGTCCCACCCCACCTCCAACATACACTCACTTTTTTTTTTAATTTGCTAGAATGCTGAAAATATTTATTTACTCACCAAGATTTTTGAAGATCTATGACACTCAGGATTACCAGGAAAAGGAAAATTAAATGTTGTTCTAATTTTTAGTTTAGTGAGAAAGGCACATATTAATCAAGTAAAAATATAATGATGGAATGATAAAATTTGAATTATAATTTAACCAAAACATATGCTAAATGAAATCTCATTAATTTAGAAAATGAAACAGTAATCAGTGAGACTGTAGACTTGCCTCAAGTGGAAATTTCTGTCCTTCTAAACTGTGTTCTGATCCATCAGATGACATATTGCATTTTCCCCAGTGAAATATTATCTTGCTTGCTTTAAAGACCATTTCAGAAACCCCTCCACTGAGTCTATAGTCATTTGTGAGATTAATTTCCACTAGAACAAAAACAAAATACATTAAAACAATAAAATTGCATCCATATTTCTGAAAATTAAAATGAACATTTTAACCTAAATTTTCTATTATTAAAGATCAGTTGTGAAATTCATTTGTTAGATAAATTAAAATATTAAGTCACTAAAAAATTAAAGACTTCAAAACTGTTAATAAGATGGTATTATATAATTGTATGTATTTAAACAATAACATGTAATAAATATCTTAATTCAAAGCACACCTATTGAATGCTTATTACATGTCAGACACTGTGTAGAAAATTTCCTACCCTTGTCAGACTTTAAATTACTAAATTCATTGAATTCTATTATTAAAATAAAGAAAATACAGAAAAATATTACCCATGATAAACCATTACAACATGTCTACTACCATAATTTTGAAAATTTTTTGATTATTTTTTTATGTGTGTTGTTTTTACAGAATTTTCTGATATACAATTTTACTTAAAATACAGTATTCAAATAGCATAGTGTCTATGTTTTGTAAACTATTTTGTCTATCATTTTTTTAACTGAAAAGTTTATGGTATCATATTTTGCATGAATTTTAAAATTTCTCTCAATAATAGGAACTTATATGGTCATATTATTTTAAATTTTGTGTGCATAAGGATGAATGATTTCTTTTCTTATCATAAAATTATACTTGCTCACTCTTTTCATATCCAAATATTAAATATAGCATGAGGCTGAGGAGACATGATGAAGCAAATCTGCCTAATGAAAAAAGTTATTAAGTAACTAATCAGTGATGCCATTTGTTTAATTGACTATATATTTCATTTTAAATGTAGCCTCTCTTATTTAAAGCATCATTATTATTATACTACCAGAGAACATGATATGATTACACTGGTCTTTTTTATACAAAATGTTATTTAAAATTTCAATTTCCTCCCATACATTGGTTTCTTATGCCTTGTTTCCATCTACCAAATTCTGCTTTATTTAAATACAATAAAAATGAAATTAATCTATCTAGGTCTAATAAAATTAAAGTCATAACAAAACATACATATTTTACCTGTTTTCCCAGTATTATGAATGAACGTATTTTCCAAAGATGGTTTATCCCAACCCTGAAATTTAAGTTTCCGAAGATTCACATTTACTTGTGTAAGATCTTCATCAATATTGATTGGCGACTGCTTGGGGCTATTGCATGTTGGATATTTCTTTCCCCAGTTTTTTGGATTCAGTGCTCCTAGAAAGGAAAATGTTGGAAATTAATGTCTCAAGCCACTAAGCAAAGTCTAATGGCTTTGTTACAATATAGCTAACATATTACAAAAATAATAGAACAGCACTGTGAAAAATTGGGGCACTTTTGGATTAATCCATAAAATTTATGCCTCCGTTTAGATTCCAAGTTTGAATATAAATTTATGGATTCCCCACATCAAGTGCAGGATTCTACAATGACTCTGTTTAGCCATGATACTTCTTCCAAAGCATTAAAACTCCTAATTGTCTCAACAGACACTTTTTATCTGTCCTTGACTACAGTTTCATATTAAAAGGTGTCCAGATGACAGATATAAATTCCAACTTCCCTAGAACTCACCATTAGGTTTAGAATTTTGCCCCTTTCCATTATTGCTGAATGTTTTAGCTGAATTTCAATTTGTGTCATATTTTCATCATTAAAGCATAATCACCAGGCTTCTTGAAATATCTTCTTCTTTATCCCCATTGTTTTGCTGATAAAACTTACCTGGTTTTCTTGCTTATTAATAAGAATAATAAATCAGAGATTACTGTTAGAGACAGTTTTGCTTATTAAAAGGTGATAGGGGGTGTCCTTGGAACACAGGTGTAGGGAAACAGCACATAGGACTTGGGTGTGGGACTGGAATAATGTATACATGTAACGATTTTAACAGTATTGTACAACACTGTACATTAGAAGTAGGGAAAAATAATTCCACCATTCCTCTAAGTAAGGTGAATTCTTACTCCTTCTTCAATAAAAACAATTGTCTAAACTGAACTGTCATAGATTACCTTTATTTCATCCCAACTTGAAACCATGAACCGTTTATCAAAACTCCATTTCACTTCAGAGTGCTGCGAGCAAGTATGTTTTATTTAAAGGTCTATTACAACACAAGAGTCTTAACCTTTGGAAGACTTAAAGGTAAGTAACCTTAAAGGTCTTAAACATTTCTTTTCTTTTTTTCTTTTTTAATTTTATTGAATAACCATGAGAAAGTTACAAGCTTTCATGTATGGGTTACAATCACACAATGATCAAACACCCATCCCTCTACCAGTGCACATTCCCCACCACAAATCTCCCCAGAATACCCTCACCCTCCCCCACCTCCATGGCAGACAATATTCCCCATACTCTCTCTCTGCTTTTGGGCATTATGGTTTGCAATACAGACACTGAGAGGTCATCATGTTTGGTCCATCATCTACTTTTGGCACACATCTCCCATCCCGACTGATTCATCCAGCCATCATTTTCTTAGTGATCCTTTCTCTATTCCATGTGTCTTCTCCCCTCCACTCATGAGGCAGGCTTTCAGCTATGGTGCAATCCTCCTGGTCCTTGTATCTACTATCCTTGAGTGTCAGCCTAATGTTATGCTATTCTATACTCCACAAATGAGTGCAGTCCTTCTATGTCTGTCCCTCTCTTTCTGACTCATTTCACTTAGCGTGACACTCTCCATGTCTATCCACTTATAAGCAAATTTCATGACTTCATCACTCCTAACAGCTGCATAGTATTCCCTCGTGTAGAGGTACCAAAGTTTCTTTAACCAGTCATCTCTTGTAGGGCACTTCTTAACCTTTTCTATTGTTAAGTATAAGCATTCCTACAACCATCTGGTGAAAGAATTGAATGATACTCATTTTCAGTTTCTATCCTTTCAAATGCTTCTCATTCAGAAGGTAAATATGGATGAGGCCAAGCTTTTACATGCTTTTGTTGAGGACATTTATGTGTAAAACATACCCTCCACTAATCTGCACACCTTGTGTGATAAGGGAAACTTGTAGGCTGATCATTGCACAAGTTCCCAGGCCACAAGTTCCCAAATGTGACAGAGCTGACTTTGCATCACTTAGTTCAGAAAAAAATAATTAGGTTACATCACAAAGTTGTCAGGAAAATTAGACAACCCATAACCTAGTGAGGATTCCACAAAGATCACTAGATGCTAAAAACTTTCTTTTAAAGTATAGCTTTCTTCCTAGAAACTATTGATGTCTAATATCGATTGGACAAGTACAGTGACACGCATTTTGACTTCTAGGAGTATCCTTAATGATACTAGGAATTATAGATCCATATCATCATAAGAACATTGATAGGGGTGGGAGCAGGAAAACACTGCTTACTTTATAAATGTTAATCAAGAGAAGTAGAGAAACAGCAACATAAATCAATAAGGTCCTTTCCATTGCTTTCATTTTAAAATACAGTACATTCAATCCCAAGTATACCTAGATATAATTTTAAGTCTCCAATAACACTGCATATCATTTACAAGGTCTGTTATTTTCCAAGCATTTAATAATCAACTCTGCCTAGATTCTTACTTGGAATATTCTCTATTGGTTACCTGAGTTTTGCCTTAAAACAGCTCCCCCTACAATGTTTGCCATCCCCCGAACTTAGAAGTCATTCTGATATGGGTTTCTTCCTTCAGCAAACCACTGGATCTACATTCAAATTGGTATCCCAAATCAAATCATTTCTCATCTCCCCCATTTCCACTGTGGACTATGCTACTGTCTTTGCTAGTTTCAGTCTTGCTATGTCACAAGCCATATCAACATCACCTAGAAGATTATTAGGAGTGTCAGACCTATACTGTGTAGCCCACCAGATCAGAATCTCCATTTTACAAAAATCACCAGGGAAGTCATACATACATTGCATTTGACAAGCAAAACTTAGACAGCTCTGGGGCCAAACAAAGAAAAGCTGGTGAGTACAGAATCACAGATTTATAAGAAGAACATTTTCTGGAGGTTCCACAATAACATTGAACAAACATGACACTTAAAAAGTGGTTTATATGGTGGGTCTGGAGAGATAGACAGTGAGTAGGGAGTTTGCCTTGCATGAAACTGCCTTTTGTTTGATTCCTGCATCCCATATGGTCCCCAGAGCATGGCCAGGAGTGATTTCTTAGTGCAGAGCCAGGAGTAACCCCTGAGCATTGCCGGGTGTGACCCAAACAACAAAAACAACAACAAAGGTTCAGACGGTAAACTCTAGGCTGTGATTTTCTTAAACCATCATATAATAAAATGGTAACGATAGTTAAAAAAAAACAATCAAAAAAACAAAACAAATATTGGGACCTGGAGATCAATTTTGCAACTGTAAGAAGTGAGCTTTGCCAACAACCTGCACTAGCTTGCAACAGAATCCTAGACTTTAAATAAAAACACACCCTGCTGTTGCCTTGATATTAAAGTTAAAGGATCTAGCTAAGTAGTTCCTTCTCTCCAACACTGGACTCATGGAAATTGTGATGACACAGTGTTTTAAAACACTCAAAACAAAGTGATTTACTATCTAGCACAAGAAAATTAAAACACCCTAGTAGGTAAAGACATCTCTAAAATATATACTAGATGATATGTCACTCATTCTAAAACATTTTCATTTCAGAATAAACCATAAAGTCCTTACCATTATTGCCCTATCTTAAGTGACATTAGCGTTAACCTCTTCCCTGATTTTCCTGCCAATCTGCCCTGAGCTTTCTAATCATTCTGCCTTCTTTTCTGTTACTTGAACATGCAACATCTCAGAGCTTGGAACTTGGAACCTTCCAGAGAAAGAGAGACTCTCTCACTTCCTTGCTTTTCTGAGATCTCTGCTCTGAAGGATATCAAGAAACATCTGATCTCCAAATCATAAGTTGTATGACATTTGGAGGAGCTGTACTATGTCTGAAGCACATCATATGATTACACTGAGACACGGCTTTAAATACTAGATCATGGAGCCAAGCAGTTCATAGATTTGAAAAGCTGTCCTGATTTTTGCAATTAAAAGGTAAAACAAAACAAAACAAAACAAAAAAGAAACAGAGGAGTTTTTTTTATAGAAATATCATAGAAAGATATTTTAAGATATACATATGATATATATATATTTAACTTCACTTTGCAAAGGATTTTTTTTTATTTGTTTTGGGGCACAATTCAGTGATTCATAGGGCTTATTTGTGGCTCTCCACTCAGGAATTACTCCTGACAATGCTTGGGAGAGCATATGGGGTGCCAGGGATTGAACCCAGGTCTGGTGAGTTCAAGGCAAGTACCTTACTCACTGTACCATCTAGCTCTCCAGCCCTAAATTTTGTAAAGGATTTTAGAAACTAGCATGTTTCAAATGATCTTACCTAGAAAATCAAGGAAAATAAATTAACAAAGTGTTAAATTGTGCACAATGTTGCAAATACAGGGCTCTATTCTGTCTATCTTTAATAATGAAACATGCATTCCTATATTGAACATTTTTAAATTTCCCAATTGTTGTTTTCTGTGATACAACTGGAGACATCAGTTCCTGAGGTGGTTAGAGACAGGCTGATGAAGGTAAGAAAGCAGATGTAAGGAATTAATTTGAACCACATCACATACGCTTAAATGTTATTAATGACTATTGTGAAGGAAGAATTAGGACACGCCTTAAAATTACAACAGAAGATTACAGGGCAGTGTACCCATAAGGAAGACTACAGAGTACAGTGTCAGCTCTAGAGAACCAAGATAAATTACCGTTTACATATTCATTCATTCTTTCACCCATTTATTGACCCACCTGAATTAGTGCCACTCCTATAAGTCTTCCGTGTTTACCTCTATTGGAACACATAACAGCCTGTACTTTGTTGGCTTATCTATTTCATGCATATCATATTACCAAACTCTGAGTCTGGCACAAGGTAAAAACAAAACAGACTTTGTGCACCAAATGAATGCATTTACTATGTTTGCACTCTGTACTCTCCATTCCAAACAGAATGGAAAGCAATTCTTGGTCCTTTAAAAGATTTGCATGAATTTGGAGGAGGGAGGGAGGAAGAGGAGGTGGGGGGGGGGGGGAGAGAGAGAGAGAGAGAGAGAGAGAGAGAGAGGATAGAGAGAGGGTGTGTGGGTGGGTTTATTTTCTCCATTCCAAAAGCATAGGCAAGTTAAATCTAAAGTAGGCAAATGCCTCCAAAA